CTATCAGAAATTCACGTTACAAAATACTTGGGATCCTATTGTAAATGTCTTATCTGCTGCACATCAGTTTCTATTGTTTTTAATATGGTTAGTGAATCGTTTATTTACGATACTCCATCAGAAACTCAGGTTACAAAATACTTGGGATCCTATCGTAAATGTCTTATCAACTGCACATCAGTTTCTATCGTTTTTAATACGGTTAATGAATCGTTTGAATCGGTTTTAGTCAATCCATTTCAATCGTTACGAATCGTGAATTAAGGAAACAGATTCATACCGATTCATTTCTTTTAATCGGTTTTTATCGTTTTGAAGAATGCCGGGAACGGGGCAACTAGCGCCAGGAGTCGGAGGCCGCTGGGCTCGGTGTTCGGTGTCCGGGGCGACTACGCCAGGAGGTCCTTATAGGAAGGGATCCCTCCAGTTACGATACTGGATTTCTCTGCTTTTCGCACAGGGGGTCTGCTTATATATTATGACTGGATGTATTTTAAATACGAGAAGCGCTTTTTATCATGCGCGGCCTAGCGGCATTGTCGCGAACTAATCACCGATTTGGTTGATGCGGATTCAATTTATAATTATATCATTGATATACGATAAAAAACGAACCGATTTGCTGCTGTAAAAAAGATGATAAGCTGTATGTCAGAAAATCCTGATAAGAAACAATAGATGTGTTGGTTCGGTTAAGTCATATACTTAAATATCGATGAGATGTCTATCATTTTATTCTTATATGTATATCCGTATTAATGCATACGGTAAAATTATTACCATAAATAACGATATATACTATATCGTGTATATACGATTGATTCAGACGGGCAATAATTGTACATATAGAAAACGATTTATAACTATAAAATTTGTATAGTTATTTCCTTATTCGGATCTAAAACGATAGAAACCGTTTCGATTCAATTAATGTTTTATCTGTCTTCTAAATATGCAACGATAAAACCGATAAGATACGATTAAAAACGATACAGATATAACCGTTTTTAATCGTTTTCTATCGGAGATGGTTACCAGGGATATTACGTATGTTGATACACAATCGATGCCAATCGTAGCGTGGAGTGCGCGGAATCATTCCGAAGCGATTAGTATTGTTGCGCCAAGCAAGAACGTGCCTCGAAAGATTTTGTTATTTCACTTGAATTGCAATTTGTCATGCACAGGTGTTCTCTGAAAATACGTTTTGCAAAGTTTATTCTTTCGCAATTTATTTCTGTTAGATATTAAATGCAATTCTTGTATTTAATTTAAGTCCTTTTCCTGTGTCGAGCTGGACTCGATAAATAATGCTTTGCAATAAATTATTCCTATATCATTTTCCAATTAAGCGCTCGAAATTAATGGATTATAATCAGCAAGCTTTATTTTTAAAATCTCTAAATTTTTCTAAATAATAAAAATTCTTTGATTTATTCGCTGCTTAGATTGAATGAAGGACATATCTTTGCTTAGTAGTGAGAAATAATTTGAACCGCAAAGAGTTAATCTAATTTAATATTTATTTATTTGGAAAGAGAATAATGGTGTCGCTTTTATCTTTGTGTAGCAATCCTTGGACGATCGTATTATATAATTTTATTCATATATTTATGTGGAATTTTTTAATATTTGATTAAAATGCATAAGATTTTTTGTCTTTTTTCAACACTTTAAAATAGTTATTTGTGTAACAAGTGAGGTAAGATGAAAATTCCCGGATGCGGTTACCGCACTCGCCTTCGGCTCGTGCGTAAACTCCGCACCCGGGAATTTTCATCTTTACACACGGCTTACACTCCCTATTTTATGTTACAAGTGCCTGGAAAGTGGTCTATCATGCACGCGTAGCGTGCGTAATGGGGCACTTTCCATGCACGTGTTGCATAAAATATATTAAACTAAATTAACACAGATATTTATTCTATGAAATTAGAGAGCTTTAAATCTTATTTGAAGTTATACCTACATGTTTTGTATAGATAGACATAATTTTATATGTAAAAATATTTAAGTATTGATAGATCTAAATTACTCTTCGATTATCATATGTTTTTGTTTTAAGTCTACTTCTTTTGGCATGTGAACTGAAGTTAATAAATTATACATCTTGGCCGCAGAGAAATCGTCTTTCCGTACGTGCTTTATCAAGTTGTATCGATCGGAGTTTACGGAGTGTAATCTTCGTTTATCTTAATCCTGTCGCTACCCTTCTACTGTCCGACTACTCTCGCCCCTTCGCCCCTTCGGAGCTCTTTCTTCGTTTTCCTACGCACTCTCGCTCCATTCTCGTTGCGCTCCTTCGTTCCGTCGTCGTCGTGGCTGGCGTCAGCAAGTTTCTTACTCCTTTCCGTTAACCATTCACATCCGGTGCGACGCGGCCGCGCAATAGCGATATCCAGGTATCGGCGAACCGCGTATTATGCAACTAACGCAATACTCTCAAATCTTTTCAGATGCGGGAGTTCCAATAATGCGTGCACACGTGGATGGCGCGGGAACGTTTCGTTTGCACGTGTTTTGCTCCGTTTACATTTAAGGAATATCGTTGCGATCGTGCCAACGCTTGCTCGCGTGTTATATTATTAAATGCTGCGACAAACTCCGCGGTGAGCAGATAAAAAAAAATGTCACAAATCAAAACTTATATACTCTTATATACGCAATCTATAATTTATAATCTTATAAGAATTCAATTTTTTTCTTGGTTGAACTATCCCAGACAACAGGCGTGTCCCAAATCGGGGCATATGACGTCTTTAAGACGTTTTATGTCCCGATTTGGGACATTGTGTTCACTGAGATACAAAACTTCGTTTAACTATATAAATGACTTCATTCAAGCAAATTTTCTTTGTTTGGAATATAATCTCAATTCAATATTATAAATTGTTGCGTATACACAAGTACGTTAATTTGACACTTTTTTCTGTGTAATGAAATTTTGACGTTCAACGCAGGATGCCTTACATTCTCTTTGCCCATTTCTTCTTTCGACGCCGTGATCTCTTCCCTTTTTTACGGGCGACATAACGTAGAAGGCATAACGGCGTATAATAAGCTTACAATTAGTTTCGGTACGTTTAAACTTCAACCTAGACCTTGGCTCCGCAGCCTCGATCCACTTCACTCTCGTCTCTCGTTGTTGCGAATTTTACGAGGAGAGAGATACGCCGAGTCCGATCCCAAGAATCATTAATCTTTGCTGCGTAAATGAAGCGTTTTCACGCTTTAATACAAAGCGATCACAGTCTGCAGACAGACGTCGCTTAGGAAATTCTCTTTTTGCTCGATTGAGTCATAGTCCGCGAGGCAAAAAAGGTTGCTTGTGTCTCTCGAATCGACCGGCGGTCGTTTAAAGCCGTAACAAATGGCTAGTGCTTTATCTCGGATCCTAAATTTACATTTTTTTAACTCAATCCCACGAATTTTCGGTTCACGTGGGTGTAGCGAAATCGGCTCGTCAACTAAACGGTCTCTTAATCGCTTCGTTAAAGATAGAGATGGAACTGTAATGAATGCAGAAAGATGAAGCAAAGCGAAATATAAAAGCCGACTAAAGAATCATTTAATGACTGCGCGTATCCGGAGAGAATTCTCCGAAACTGAGATTTTTTTAATTCAAGTTCCAGTTTTTTACATAATTCAAAATATTAGCAGAAATTAAAATTGTACCACGCCCAAGTCCTATTTTCGCTATAACGTAAAACTGAATCGATCCTAAAGAATGTAGGACTTTGACGAATTATTAAGTCTAACAATTCAACACAGTTTTATCTCAATTTATCTTTTATCTGATTGACTATGTGTTCGTTCCTTACTCACAAGCTTTTATATGATGTACCTTCGTTCACGTTTTGTACTGTTTTATGTCTTACAATTAGTACAAGTTTAATATCTGGCCTTTTTAGCTTCTATTACTAATTTTTTATTATTCTTTTTATTTATTGTATTATGTAGTCTGTAGTCTTTATCTTAATGTTAATATTATATCGAGATTGCTCAAGAAGACTTACAATTAGTAAGTCGAAACGTACAATGCGCTTCAACTTCATATTGTTGTGAATAAATCTGCATTTTTTTCTTTATCTATCTAACATCTTTTTATGCTCGTTATTGGCCGTTTGCCTTCCCTTTTAAATTTTTCTTGGATTGAGCGGTTGACTTCTTATCATATTTAATTTAATAAAGGATTTAATCCTAAAGCAGTCGCTTAACGCAAACGACTAGAAAGTGTTTTATGGACGTCATTGAGTATTAATTGTAGTAAGAGAAGTTTAGTACCTATTGCAAAACTTTAACTGGCATTACCACGCGGTGTCCGTTTCTTGCACGGTAGCGTCTCGTTTTAACGGTGGATTAAGAAGAATTATGCGCGCTAACGCGCCGTTTCCTTTTACAGGCGCACGACCCCAAGGTAATTAGCGTTTATTGCAAACAAGCTACCAAACGTTCTATAAATCAGATAGGCGTGCGCGTGAGACGGTCAAACGGCCATATTTCGAATAGTCTCGATTTTAGCGTAATTACGCGCACCAGTGAAGTATAATGTCTTAGATCCAGTTTCACCAGTGTCGGTTAACTTTTAATCTTAGATTAACTCACTCTTTGCCTCCTTCTAACGTCCCCCTTAGAAAAAGACAAAGAGTGAGTTAATCTAAGATTAAAAGTTAACCGACACTTGTGAAACTGGTCCTTAGGGCCAGTTCCACAAATGTCGGTTAACTCTTAACCTTAGGTTAACTTACTCTTCGTCTCTTTCTAAGGGGGACGTTAGAAAGAAACAAAGGATAAGTTAACCTGAGGTTAAGAGTTAACCGACGTTTGTGGAACTGGCCCCTAAAGTTACTTTCCTAACACGAGTTAACAATTTGTTTTTTTCCTAGAATATATATAAATAGATCAATTCTTCTGATTTAACAAATGCAAAATAATTTGACAAAGATATGGGAGAGATGGAGAAACCGACATGTAGTAATTCCTTTTTTGTACCGTTGCAGACTGATGAAAGCGCAGCATCCGCGGATGCAGCCAATATGGATTCCCACGTCGGTCTCGACTACATCGTGGATAATCCCGATTATTGCGTCAAGCTCGCCTCAGGTAAATTGTCCAACGTTCCCGATTCCGTAATCACGCGAGATCTCTCGCCGCGTATTAACGCCTCTATATCCCGCCGATTGCAGCGTTGGAGACGGCGTGCTCGTCCGTGAAGAAGCAAGTCGTGGAGCTGCTGTCGGCGCTGTGCGTTTATAGCCAAGACGGCAGGCAGAGAGCCATCGATACTCTTCACACGTACCAGGTGACCGTTTCTGAAAGTGAAAATACAATTTTTTTTACTGATTCGCACATTTGGACGACGGGAATGTATATAATAGCTAAAACGGCCGCAAAGGCCCGCGCACGCGAGGCGTTGCCACGAGACATGACATTTCAGATGCAGAAGAAGTGGTCGCGTACCTGCCGCGTAAAATAACCGTGTGCCGCGCTTAGGTAAAAGTCACGGTTCAAGGTCTCCCTTCGAACAAAAGAACGAAGCGCACTGCAATAATAATACTTCTCTTAAATGCGCGCACCGCAGCGCGCAAGCAAGAGTGAGTTATGCCGTAATATGCCCATTGTATAATCCCATCGCGTTGCGAAATATATTTTTATCGCGACGCGATTTGCATGCTGGAGACAGATCACCGACGTTCTCGCGATCGCGCGTTCCCCATGAGAGATAAATTCTTTCATCGTACCACGCGACGATCGATGAAAAGGGCTCGCAGAGCCGAATAAATCAACATAGGTCGGAAAATTTGGAACAAACGTGGAACGTGGAACGTGGGACGAATCCAATAAACACCAAACATCACTCAAACATCAGTTACATTACCTCTATCCCAGCATAAGTTCTAAAAGACATCTTAAAGGGCCAAAGCACATATGACAGTCGTAGTCGTGGACGTAAGTAACGCACAAGCTTTGGCGTATCCTGATCTGTCAGGTCGGGGTCTACGACCGTCGTATATCGCTACGCCATGTTATGTGCTTTGGCCCAAAGACTTCGCAAAGACGTCTAAAAGACAACATAATTTTTCAGGCGTCCTTTAGAAGCTTCTGCGAGCTGGGATGTTATAATTTCTCATTCAACAATGTATATATAAGAGCCGGTTGTCCCAATCTGTTGGTAAGCTAACTAATAGTTAAATCATATATCTATCTTTGTCTAATTACTCTAATTTAAAGAAAAAACAAAGACATATATTTAACTATTAGTTACCAACAGGTGTTGGAACAACCGGTCCTAAATGCAATATAACATGTGTGTTATATACAATAATGTAATATTCACTCACTGATGCTCAGTGTTTACTGGGAAAAGTTTACTCCTTATCAACTTTTTTCTTTATCAGCTAATGGAAAAATGTTTTCGATCCGACGCGAATGAAAGAACGCTTGACTGACTTTGTGCTCGCGCCGCGACGGAAACGCCGATATCTCGGGATACAGACGTTTCCCGGAATTGAAGGCAAGTGTGGCGAGATAACTCCGATCTTAAACGGTGACCTATGTCCAAATGCAGGAGCGGAAGGGCGAGCGTTATCGATTGCGAGTCGTGGTCGACGAGCTGCAGAAAGCGACGGCCGAGGATTACCAGACGGCACTGCTGGCGTTTATAAATTGTTTGGTCATCTCGACGCCGGTGCTCAAGGACCGCATACGTATTCGCAACGAGTTCATCGGTGAGTGAAAGAGAGCGGCACTCGAGAGTCTTCTTGGCGAATGCCATTAAGGCGCAGCTTCCTCGTCGCCGCGAGACTGACTACTTGACAGTCGCGCGCCTCTCCTCGGCGCGCAGAATTTTTTTATACAAACGGATGATGAACGAAACGATTTAACATGAAGCATCGTTCGAATGCGGCCGTAATTTATTTCGTTTTGACTTTGTAATTTAATTGAAAAAATTTGTTGACTATTTTTTTTCTTTTTGTTCTATATCTTTCTCGCTTTCATCCGTTTGAGTCATTCTCGTAAAACGTAAGATTTGCGAGATGAAATAAGCAGTTTGAGTCCGTTGGTCAGGTTGATTATTAGAAATAGTACTGACACACGACTTCCGATTTCCAATTGCAGGTCTCAAGCTCCTGCCGATCCTGAACGAGCTGCGGTGAGTACCCTACGACGATCCGGCCGGATCCGCGGCATTAACTTATTAACACCTTAACATTTGTGGAATAATAAATAATAATGAATGTATTACGAAAGGACACTTTATTGTACCCACACCTTTTCCTTCGCACACACCGCCTAATGTCACCGCGAAGATAATTACACGAAGGATTGGTTCACTAACGAAGGGAGGATCCCATCGTGACGGTATTGTCGACCCTGGACACCGATTCACTTGCATGCACTAATCCAAATAATGTTCTAATACAAAAGTGCCGTGACTTTTTGATATAACTCGAATTTCTTACTTTCCAAACTCGCAGGTTCAAATTCGCAGGTTTACGCAATGGTGTTGCATAGACGCGCAAATAGAACGTTTTATACTGCCTTAAATAATTCTGCCGTTTTGTCTGATTCAAACAAATTTTGTTACAGTACACTTGTATATACGAGCAACAACAGTTTTTTTGTTTCGTATTTCAGATTAATTCTTGTTTCCTCTAAAAGCGGCATTTTTCGAGATTACATTGAGGTGCTCGCCGATAATATTAAACGTATCGCGATTGTTATACACTGCTTATCGCAGTTGATGCTGTTTGGCAAACAGTCATTAACAAGATTAGCGCAATCGAGTAATTAGGCTAGGAATACATATTCGTTTATAAGAACGCAGGTTGCACGTATCGTTCAGAAACGTTTCCAAAATGTCTTACAAACGACTTATTACTTACATACGTTGAAATCTATAAGACAAATGTCCTGACTGACTATCATCAATGCCCAGCCCAAACCCCCTGAACCTAGAAACATGAAATTCGGGTAGTGTATTCCTCTCATGACGTAAGCACCCACTAGAAGGGATTTTTAGAAATTCGATCCCTAACGGGATGAAAAGGGGTAAAACGTGTTTCACGGATTCCTCAATATCTCTTAGGCCCGTTGATATATCAACTTGGTTTTTGCTTACAAAGAGTTACCCATACAAATGCTTAAAAACATAATTCAAGATTTTGTCCTAATCAACCCCTAAACGGGCAATTCTAAGTTCGGGGATGAATTATAGAATTCTTCGCATATACCGTAGCGAAGCACGGGTGTATCAAGCAACATGTGCTATCTGGGAAGGTGCAATGCAATTGCATCGCGATTTACGCAAAGGAGAAGATCTCTGGAGAGTAATTGATTCGGTAATGGACCACCAAAAAAAATCCCCGTACAGGAGTAAGATCATCGATAGGTGTCCCTGAAAGTTCCTGGAAAGTTCGTTTTTTGAATTACGATGGTCCTCTCCCAAAGATATATGAAATATCATCTCAATCAATGTTCGCTTTCTCACGCTAATTAATCCAACGTGTATAACGCGAGAAGAGCGCAATTCCGGAGACGACACCTTTTCATCGGTGACGAGCGATGAGCGGGAAATAGAATCGAGTGTAGAATCCAGGCGATTCGTCTCCCTCCGCGCATTCTCGGCAACATTCTTCGTGAGCGAAGACAAGAAAAGAAAGAAAGCCTAGAATAAGAAAAAATAAAAAAGTAATTAATAAATGAATATACTAAATAATATAATGAATGTTGAAAACTAAAAGATAGAAAAAAGTTTCTAATTAAAAGAAAGAAACATGCATTGATAAGAAAAAGTGTTAACTTGACTAAATATTTTTAACTAATTATTATTTTTTAATTGAAATATTTATGTAATTAAATTAAATACGACATATTAAATCTAACATGACGTAATTCGGCTCAAATACTTATAAATATTTCAATTAAAAAAATTATCAATTGAAAATATTTAGTCAAGTTAACTTTTTTCTCTCAGTGTGGGGGAAAGGGGAATCGCGGAAGGAAGATAGCTAGAGAGAAGGGATGAGAAAGGGCCGCGCGGCGTCACGGCAAGGAGAAAGGGAAGGCGAGGAAAGCCCGAATTAACTTCTCACCGGCACCGATGCACCTGCGACCGCATCTCGCGCCGCGCTGGAGCCAGAAATGCGTCCGACGTCGCGACGCGCCGGCCGGCCGGCGTTATCCGCGTTAGCTCCGAATCTCGAATCTCGGTAATCGACGGATGGCTCTTCCTCGTCGTCTTTTCCTCTCTGGAGCTTTCATCTTCGGCACCCGTCGCGCAATCGTCTTTTCGATCAGCGGTAAGGGAAAAGAAGAAAGAAAGAGGAAAAGAAAAAAGCACCAATTTCTTCCTAATGGATCCTCGATCCTCGACTTCGTTGACCTACATAGCAACTGATGTCTCGCGCGGAATAAGCTAACGAGTGTCCACGCAGTATTGTAAAAATATTATTGATTGTTCTCGAAGAAATATTTTCGATGCATCTCATCGATAAATCTTATCGGCATGTGATTTTTTGTCGAGAAACCGGAACGTTCCTCGTGTGCTTCCAAATCGGGGTGTTTCTACGTTTTGGATATTTCGCAAAATCTACTTCATTTGCGTAATCTATTATACTTTTACTTCGTGAGGTTTTATTCCGGCGAGGCCAGGGTTCAGATGTCTGCTTCGCTACGCGCGACGCGCGAAGATTTCGAGTATTTTAGGGGAGAGAAGAAAGCGTTTTAGAGAATTCTATTCTCTTTTTGCTCCTCTACGACGGTCCACGCGGAGAGCGTGCCGGCATCGCTTTCTGTGAGTCATTGCCGTGCTCACATTCGTGTTCTTCGTTATCCACTTCTGTTTTGCTCGTGGCGAAGATCGATGGCAGGATTGGACCGCCGCGGAGAGTATTTTGGTACGCTCTCTCGGTAAGACGCACAACTGGAAGCTGCCCAGACCGTTCTGGATGCTCGAGACTTATCTCATAGTTTAAATCTCAATCGCGCGTCTCCATCTCGAGCCTTAAAATTTGAAATCGCTACTCCGCATATTTATCTATAATATAATCTGCCATGGGATCACTGGAATCGGTAAACATTTTTTTTTCTATGAAATTAAGGACTTCAACGTTGCTCTTTACAAACGTTTTTCTTTTAGCTTTACGACGGATGTATCAATGAGTGACTTAAATGAGATTAATGTCGCGAGTGATGTATTTTGAATCTGTCACGATTCAGCACATCTAGAACATTTTGCGTGGACCTCGAGCTATCTATTGGATTCGAGAATTGACGCTGAAATCGGTGGCGACTATTTCCGTGCGACTATTTCTTGAAGGCGCAAAAGCGTTCGCGGAACGCGAGCTATTCTAAAGCTTCGCGACTCGTGAAACATGCGTTCTTTATAGATTTCTGATTTGCGACTTCTTCGCGTACAGAATTTGACGCCTGCGGTGTATTTATCGTAACATCTTGTCAATCATTCTTGAGCCGGACTTACCCAGAGAATTCTTACCACAGATCAGTCGCGTTATTTATTTTGAATATTAAATTGAGGCAAACTCGCTTGGAAATATTAAATGCAAAGAAAAAATTCATCAAGTTGAGAATCAAATTTTCAAAGAATTCTCGCGAATCGAGGAGATGCTGAAAACAAGGAGGAGAAGTATAAAAATTTCAAATGTCCACGAATCAGGATGATGACGATTGTTCTTGCAGGAAAAGTCATGCGCCGGATGTGAGGGTACAGCTAGACGCCTTCGACGATCAGCGGGAGACCGACGAGGAGCTCGCGAATCACGGACCGCCCGGTATCGATCTCTCCTCTCACGTGGACGTTTTTTACGCCATCCTCGGCCAAGTGAGCGACTTCCGGCATTTCCCCGGTTTTTCCCAGCTTCCGCCAATATATTCTCGATAATTTTTTGCGATCAATCTTGGAAAAAATTAATTAATTTTAATTTTTCACCTTTGTGCGCAATTTGTCCCTTCTGCCTCGAGTAAGCGCATCGCGTTACATCGTTAACTATTCATTTGCTAAACTCCCTCGCCACTTAATTCCTATAAAAGCTATTCAAAGGCTTCTAATCGAGAAGCGAGCGCGTCGAGCGCCGCGCGTAAGAGACGTCTGACAAAACGCAGCACACCCACAGGTCGCAGACACTCCGCAGGAGATACCCTTTCTGAGCATCCTGCAGCATCTGCTGCGACTGGACCCGAAAGACGCCGCCAGCGATCTGGCGTGGGACACCGCGGAGACACTGGTGCACCGAGCCACGTTGCTGGAGAGTCGCGAGGATGCGACCAAGTTGCTGAGGTCGCCTAGTCTTCAAGTAAATACCCGTATCTTTTTTTCTATTATTTACGTCTTTCAAAAAGAAACAATATATCGAGAAGATCCACGAAATTATTTCGCAAAATAGGAGTCGTATAACGTTTCGTACAACGCTTTTCCAATCGCTTTTAAGAATTGTTGGCGTGACAAAGATAATTATGCGCAATGCTTCCACGTAAGCAAGAGTCAACGGTAAATTTATTGATTCTATCCGTTACGACTATGTTTTTCTCGGACTTTCGCCGATTATGCAATCGACGGCGACACATACCCGTCGACGAAGGGAGACGCGACGCAACGATGTGGCACCCGCGTTACATCAGATCAGTTTAAATCTCCGCGGCCACACTCGCGGGAGATCGTCAATGTCAACCGCGTAGGCTAATGTAACACCGGCCGTGTATACTTTTACTTTCTGACCGTACTTGACCGAAAGACGCGAGTCCATAAAAGAAGAAACCCGTACCACGCTTCGCGTCGATGAATCACGAAGCCGTGCGTTCACACATGCCTTCCGTCAGTCGCGCAATGATTTTGCAAAGCCAGAGATTTGCTTTCAAAATGCAATTTCAAGGATTTGTCATATTCTCCTTTTTGGCTAAGGACAACAATTTAATCCTAGAATAAACAGCGCTTCCAGAACAGAGCATCCCGAAAACACATACCATAGGTCTGGGAGATCCATGTAACTTTGACAGGCTGTAACTCTGGTTCAGATTAATATTTTTGAACTTGGTTTTTGATTATTTTAAAGCTTTGAGATTTTTAGAAATATGCCTGAAGGTTTTAATATCACAAAGTGTTTTATTTCTGTCAAGTTATGAAGTTAAAACTAAATATCGAAAACAGAAAATTCCGTGTAAGTGAAGTTTCGTCTGGGCCTGGAAAACCCACGCTATGCGTTCTGTGTGTAAATAAAATATATACTTCTTATCACGCGAAATATACTTCTTGTACTTTGTGCAATCGATTACGCGTGATATAAGTAAACGAAAAACATATTCAACAATTTAACGATATTCGAACAGACGAATCTATGCTGCCACTGCCGCGGCGCCGATCAGACGTGCGGAACGTCGCGAAAAGCATCGCTGCCGGCGAACAATAGCTCGACAGTGCCTTTACCGCCACCGCCGCCACCCCCGGTTCCAGTCGCGCCACCGGGCCCGCCAAGCCCGTCGAGCGGTAGCGGTTTTGTCCTGCCGCCGCCGCCCCCGCCACCGCTTTTCGCTAACGTCGGCACATCTGATGCACCGATGGAGCCGCCGATGCCACCCCCTCTGCGCGTGTCCCCCGTCGCACGCGCGCCTACCCCCGAGCCGCCCAGCAATCACGCCAGGCTGCTGCCGCAACAAGAAATTCCCACCCCTAAAACGAAAATGAAGACTATCAACTGGAACAAGATACCTAATCATAAGGTATCTAAGAAAAGAGTTGTCGAGGATTTTAGTCACAATAAATAACGCTTTCCTCTCTAAAGATTGTCCTTGAATTAAATAAAGAACCTTAAGTTACATTAAGGAAAGAGGTAAAAAAAGAGAATAGGACAGCGGCAAAAGGGTTAGGAGAGGAGAATGGATAGAGAGAGTATTAAAAGGGAGTGATTTGGATACTATTTTATTTTATTATATTAAATTTTGTTTAATTTTGTTTTGTCTTGTTTTTGTCCCGTTTTGTTTTATTTAATATAAATACGAATTTTAAATTTTATTTAAGTTAGCTCCATTTTGCTTTATGGAGATATAAAATGGAAGTGGAAATAAAAATGTGTAAAGTGTATTGCAAATTGTAAACCAGGAGTAATTCCAAGCCGCAAGACAAGGATTAAAAAATAAAATAAATAAATAAAAGACCTTAAGTTAGAGAGAATATTATTTAAATTAAACGAAGGCAACGGCGAAAAATTACGGTGTCGAAATTCTTTTTACGTCCTAGGTGATTGGCAAACGAAACATCTGGTCCCTCGTGGCGAACGAGCATCAGAATTCCCCGATGGCGGATCTAGACTGGGCTGAGATGGAGGGCTTGTTCTGCCAACAAGCGCCGCCGATGGTACCACCGGCGACTTATTCGACCTCGTGCGGCGCCGACGCCGAACGACGTCGTCGAGAACCGACGGAGGTTGCTCTCATTTAACGCTTTTTCTCACTTTGCTTTGTAAAGAATAATGAGTTCTTATATACGTTATATTCTCGAATGTTTTCTTTTTCTAGATCGCATTACTCGACGGAAAAAGGAGTCTGAACGTTAACATTTTTCTGAAGCAGTTTCGAAGGTACGATAAGGATAACGGAAAAATTAATAAATGTTCAAAATTAAGAAAATAATTGTCTGAAAAATTGATATACATATAAGCACGTATTTTATTTTATTGTATCATTACTGTTATTATCCGCGCATTCTCGTATTCTTCATTCAGTTCGAACGAGGACATAATCCAACTGATCAAGGAGGGCGGTCACGATGACATCGGCGCGGAGAAGCTGCGTGGTCTATTGAAAATATTGCCGGAGGTGGACGAACTCGAGATGCTCAAGAGCTTCGACGGCGACAAGTCGAAGCTCGGTAACGCCGAGAAGTTCTTTCTGCAGCTTGTCCAAGTGCCAAAGTAATATTTTCCTTATATACACCTAAAGAAAGATTAATATTTTTTCCATTAAATTAAAAGAGAGTGAAATAACGACGCTATTGATCTACAGTTACAAGTTACGTATCGAGTGCATGCTGCTGAAGGAAGAATTCGCCGCGAATATGAGCTACTTGGAGCCAAGCATCAACTCGATGATACTTGCCGGTGATGACCTGATGACGAACAAACCCTTACAGGAGATGTTGTACATGGTCCTGGTGGCTGGTAATTTTCTGAACTCTGTACGTATTTGCTCGTCGCCGAACAGTTGATATGAATTCTGAACGCTGGGATGGATAAGCCAGAGTTTCGATTATCGCGTTTGCAGGGTGGCTATGCTGGCAATGCAGCGGGTGTGAAGCTCTCCTCGTTGCAGAAGCTAACCGAAATTCGCGCGAACAAGCCGGGGATGAATCTGATTCACTACGTAGCATTGGTAAAATATTGATTAGTTAGTTATGGATTGAGTGAAATCGAACATGTATATATCCAGTATGTATGTGCAATTTAAGAACTCATAGAAACGTATACTTTCGTAATTAAAATTATGTATATTTCAGCAAGCCGAGAGAAAACGGAAGGATTTACTAAGCTTCGCGAAGAATATGACTGCCCTAGAAGCAGCGACAAAGTAAAGATTACTATATGCATAACAACAATCGTGAAAGAAATGTTATTCTTACAGTAGGTATTTTTTTTTAGGACGACAATCGAACAATTGACCAACGAATTTAATAGCTTGGACACGAAGATCAAAAAGATCAAGAGTCAGATCCAACTCTCTTCGACCGAAAGCGATATACAGGAGCAGATGGCACAGTTTCTTCAAGTAACGAATATAAAGACTAATCTCAGATCTATACAATACGAGACAAAATTCTTTAGAAAGGAGTGTGAAAAGTGAACGAGACTTTTGCTTGAAATCCATAGATGGCCGAGCAAGAAATGGCGCAATTGAAGAGGGATATGGAGGAGCTCGAGGGAGTGAGACGATCGCTCGCGGAATTCTTCTGCGAGGATACGAACACATTCAAGATCGAAGAGTGCTTCAGGATATTCCATCAGTTCTGTCAGAAGTTCAACCAGGCGGTTGCAGAGAACGAAAGACGGCGCATCCAGGAGGAGCAGATCCTGGCGCGTCGCAAACAGCGCGAGGAGCAATTGCTGGCGAGGAAACGACTGCGTAAGTGTATGTGTGTCCTCGCAAAAAAAATAGAACGATGAATATTTTTACAAAAACTAGCGCAATTTTGCACTTTACGACTTTTGAGCAACTACTATCCTTTTGTAAACCGAAGACTATATTATTAAGACCTCGAAATGGTGTTAAAAATAGATAAATCTCAGATTTTTTTAAAAGAGCATGTTCCTTTTCCTCCCGCCTTTCGACAGATGCTTAAGAATCGTATTCATTAAATACACAGTGAGCAGTCAAACGGAAACACCAGGCTCGGAATCTGAATCTAACTTGATGGACTATGGATTTTTCGACCTCCACACCGGTTTACCTCAGAGAAATTATAGCCGCGGCGAGGCCAAGGTAAATTCTCTGCCATATATTTACCATCTACTTGCTAATATCTAGCATGTTTGAAAAAAATAGTAGCGCCAAATGGCTAAATGAAGCGTGAATAAATATTTTGAGACAAAAGTAGAATTCATGAATTATAAAATTTGTTTTAATATTCAGAAGATGACAAAACGCGATCCTGAACACTTTTAATTTTTAATATTTTAATTTTTCGTGTTGTCGAAGTACTTTATATCTCATTTTAAAGTTAAAAATGGTCTCTTGAAATCTTCAAAACAAAAGAAACTTTAATATCAAACAGGGTAAAAAAATCTTTGATGATATTTCTAGATAAGAAGATTACAAAGCGGCGGTGTTACGTCAGACGAGGACGTCTCGGTCATCGGATCGCCGAGCATCCGACGTCGTTTAGGATCGTGTTCCGGCGGTCCCGACCAACAGTCTACCAAAGAAGACACATATTCGCCAGGTATCATACTGCAACTTGCGTTGAAAAAAAAGCGAAATTAAAAATAGTATAAGATGTCACTTTTTTGTAGTTAATAAAACTGTTGCCAATAAGAATCGAATATTTTCGAGTCATCTACAAACCTTTGTACGATCGGCTACGACTATTTACAAACAACAATGAAATCGTAATCGCAATATATATTCCATGACATTTTACTTAACAGATATCACGCCTAACGGCACGCTTCGTCGGCGCAGGAGTAGAATACCCTGCGAGGATGACGACGGAAATCTGATGGACTTCTTACGAACGTCCGGACAGGATAATACACGGGAGAGAAAATCATGGGGAAGCTTAGGTATTTTATAATGCTTGATAAATTTTACAGATATTGTTCAAATTAAATTATATTTGAAAAATATCGAAGATCGATCGTGGGCGCGGAGAGCTCGAGGGCAATCGCGAAGAGGCGATCTGCTGAACGCCGATTTTTCGGGGGATCGGGAACGACCGAGCTCACCGTCTCCTCTCGCGGAGAGTAAACCGTTCCTGCAAGAGGAGGAAGCGAAGCCAACCGGGTAAGTCGGAAATTTGTATTATCTTGACCGTCCCCGAATCGTCACTCTTACATCTAAAGACTTGAAACAAAAAGGAATGCACATACGGAAGGATAAAGAAAAACAAATAAAAGGACTATACGAAAAGTAGACCTATAAAATAGGAATCTCATCGCAGCTCGACGAAATTTGGCAGGAACATTCATATCATGCCGGAGAAAGAATTTTTGTTGACACTCATCTAGAACGGAAGCAGTGAGACGCATAAGAAGAATCGCGAGAAAGACGATAGGTGTGGGTGTGAACAGCACCAGCGTGAAAAGGTAAAAAAAATCAATGATTCTGAAGCAGATATGAATGTTTCTGCTAAATTTCGACCTGCGATGAATATCCCATTTAGATCTACTTTATGTGTATAATCTTTTAATAGAAAAAAATTCTTAGTAAAGTTTAATTTATCTTTTGGAAAATCAGGAAAGCCTGGCGACAGAAGATCGAGGCGTGGCTGTCGGAGAATGAGAAGGAAGATCGTGCGGGTGAACAGCTCCAGAAAAGAGCGAAGCAACTGCACCAAGCGAACCGACGGTCCTTCGAAGACTCGGGTGAGCAAGCTCACTTTCCGCGAATGTCGAGATAACTGTTTTAGCGTCAAGCCTTCTAATATGAGACGTGGTCCAATTACAGAAAGCGAAGGCAAGAGCTGCCCGATGAATACCTTGGCGGAAGACCAAACCATGCTTGAAGGAGCAGGGTTCTCCGAAGTTTACGACTGGCGACCGTCCGTCGAGAAAACGGACGTGATGCGCACGATGGAGGCCATTGAAGGTGCGTACAAATTATATATTTATTATAAATTTATTATAACGTCATCATTGGTAAACATTATAAAATATATTAATTGCAAATGAGCTGCGAGGTATTAGATCCGCGATTGACACAATTGACGATTTAAGCGAATATCGTTTGTTCCAGAAGCTCAACCATTATCGTCCCAGGACAAGTCTCCTTGGCGAAAATCGAGCTTAAACGTACCAAATAGTATGGAAGAAGCTGATCCGCGTTATTCCCGTAGATTTAGATCGAAACACAACACCGAGAACGCTCTCATGCCGAGCACACTGCAGGTAAGTGTAAATAGAACCAGCTTATCAAGCTTAATTTAATGATGCGTAAATGCAATAATTTATAAGCAGGAGAATGGTAGTATAACTTTTTTGAGTAAAGTCAGAAGATAGAAAAGTTAGTCCAAACGTTTTCAGACAATAAAGTTTCAAATAACTAAATTACGTCACGATGCATTCACAGGCGATCAGAGAGGAGGACAGGAAGAAAAACAAGATCAGTGACACGATAAATTTAGATGCCCCCCAGGACGAGTTGACGATCTATCTCCGGCAGCCGTATACCAAAACGCAAACACCTGTAACCCGGCGATTCTCCAAGCTCGGCAGAAAGACTTCCACGGACGAGGAAAGAGTCAGCGATAAGATCGAGATCGATTCGGACAACATCGAGACACCACCGGCAACCAGGCGGTTGTTCAGCCCGCCGAAGGAGGTAAAACCCGTGGAGAAGGAACCCTGCAAAAGGGAACGTTGCAGCAGCTCCCTCCAGAGTCGAGAAACAAAGACTGCGATATTGAAACCGATTAATCCCAGCGCGGATCTTGGTACTGGTGAGTACAAATCGGAACATAGAATATATAAACGGAATGTCCGTTCTCCAATTATTACGCTCTCAGTAAGCAAAATGATATAGCTAGCAGTATGTCGGCAGATTGGTAACAGATTTAATCAGACATGTCAGCAGACTAACATCAATTGCGTCCGCATTCAGCTTATGTTTTGCAAGCAAAGTCTGCTAACATAATCAGACAGTAAATTGGCAGTAGAAACCGCGCAGGCAGAACCTACTGACAGGCAGTATGAGTAGATTGGCAGCAGGAACGGCGCAGAGCCTGGGAGATTTTTGTAGGATTTGCTCGATTTCCATTGATTATGTTAGCAGACTCTTGTTACACTGCTATTGGTGTTCTTCTGATATTATGTGATATATCAGAACCGGCATCAGATCAGTCTTTCTACCGACAAAATTTGTAGCAGATACTCGGCAAGATCTGCTTTCGACAGACTTGGCTGTCTGGACTCTTATTCAGTCAAAATCCCTTATAGAAATTTAATACTGTAAGTGATTATTTGGCTAGTAATTAATTACTTATTTTGAGTATTAAAATTATTAAAAACAGTACTTTTAATACTCAAAATAAGTAATTAATCACTAGCCAAATAATCACTTACAGTATTCTGTAAGGGATTGACACATAAAAATTATTAATATATATATAATTTGCAATTTTAAAAGTTCCTTGGAATATTAATTTCCAATAAAATAATATTATATATCTTGGTTCCCAGGTAACTTCGATAGATACTCAGCGACGCGACGAACACGTAGGTACAAGAAAAGCCAAGATCCCACGGGGGACAAGGACAAGTCGGACATGTCGAGCCTCGAATTGGTTTACGACGAGAAGTCGACGGTGCAGCGGCCGAATACCCTCGTCCTCGCTGACGAGGAGATCCACCACGAGGACACGGACTCCATGCTGCGTGTCTGGCAGGATAAGCTGAAGCGGCGCGACACTGCCTCGTCATCGTTATCGTGCGACATTGACGCCGCGCTAGCGGAGATCGCGCGCTCCGGCGAAGACCTTCAACGTCTATCGCGTTCGGCGTCGACGACGACAGCGTCAACGATAATGGGCCACAGAAGCTCGCGGCTTCCGGTCAGCCAACCGCCACCGGTGGTGGCGGTGACCAACACCGTGTTGAGCCCGGTGATGCAGGAGTCGCGACCGCGGGAGCCGATTACGATGCTCGCCGAGCGGGCGGTGACGAGTCGCGAGCGTCATCGAAGCATGATCGATCCAAGTCAGGTGAAAGAAGCGGTCCGTTTGACTAGTAACCCACCCAGTCAGGTGAACCAGGATCAGGAGATCGTCAATGGCTTCCCGCGAAACGGAAGTTCGCCGCACGATCGGAAGAACGAGCAGGACGACACGCCCAAGACCGTGGAAGAAGAGAAGCGCATGGATCTGAAGCCCATCGGGGGCACGAGGGAACTCGAGAAGAGCTCCGATATTCGAATCGCAGACGATTCGCGCGATCGGTCGACGACTCGGCAAACCCCCTTGTTCCGTAGTCGATTCATTCCCGATATAAGTGTGACATCGTCGCCGCCTTCGTCCGGCAAGAGCAGAGATCAGGAATTGAACGACGAGGGCTTCGAAGAGACGCAGAGCCTCGTGTCGGAGACTTTGAGCCAGGAGACGTCCTCAGGCAATTACGAGACGGACACGCATGACTCGACGCGATGCTCGCCGGCGGAACTGGGCGGTTACGGCGGCGAGCAACGTCGGCGTAACACCATCACGGACGACCTGAATGGTCGGAGATCATCCGTCGACAAGTTACTGAAGCCGGCTTCCGATAAAACGTTCGACAAAAAGACGAGCGCGAGGAGCGCGTCGGAGAAGTCCAGTTTTCTGCCAAAGCGCACCGCGAGCGCGAAGCGCGAGTCTTCTGCGTTGAGGAAAACCGAGTCCCTGAAAAGAACCTCGAACGTTATCCCGTTGAGCGATGCGGGAATGTCGAGAGGCGAGGTGCAACGTTCCGGTTCCAGAAGCAGCTTACGCAGCTCGCGGAGCTCGCTGAACAGCGCGACGTCCGTGAACACGGTGCGAAATCTGGCCGCCAATCACGCGCATTTACGCAGCTACACCTCGGCCATCCGCGCGCTGACCAACGACTTGAGGAAGAGCAGTCCGTCGAACAGCCCGGTGCCGCCAAAGAACGCGGTTGACAAGAGGCGGCCGAGTCCTCGTCAGATTGGCGTCAGCAGGATACCCGCCAGTAGGAGCAGCAGCAGCGGCAGCAGCGTTGGACCGGCAGTGAGGAACGTTCGAAAAGCACCCGAGGTTAATATAATTTAATCGAAAACATCTGCTCTTCCTTGTAAAGCAAGCCCTTGTTGTTATTCGATATCTTCAATGTAATTTTTATCGTTGATCGGTAGGTGGTGCCTGGCATGCCAAAGGTTACGAGGGGCCGGCCAATCGCCTCGCGTAGCAGCAGCAGCGGAAGCAGCGTCGGTCATCAATCAATCTTAGGAAGTCGACCGCTTTCCGGCGATAAAACGTCCGCGACGAAAAGCAGATTAATGCAGTCGCGAGTCGGCTTGAAGAGTCACAGCTTTATGAGGCCCACGGCCGCCAGCGTCAACAAGGGTTCCACACCAAACTTGCCCAAGAGCATCAAAGTTATGGTCAAGTGATAACTCATCGATAAGGAATTGTATTCGAGAATTTTAGACCGAGAAAGATTTATCTACATATACATTTAACAATCGCGTTAGAATTAACAAAAACCGCTAGCGTTACGTAAGATCAGCCGAATCCGGAGTCTGATAATTGATAAGCTGTAAGGACAACAATTTCGACGATGTTATCACGTAAGGTAGAACTGCAAGATTAGATAATGAAAATTGTTATTCTCGCTGACTACGCCGTCTCTCACAATTGTCAAACCAAAATAAGTAAAGGCTATTATCGTCTAATTATACGCCACTATCACACCAAACAACGTGAGTGCTCGGATAAGAGGGAAATAATCAAATCTCTCTCTAGCTTTATCGCGCGCGCGACGCCCACACGTTACATGACCAAGGAAACTTTAAGGGGAACGCCCCGATCTTTTATATCCGGCGCCAAATTGAGGGAGTTTTCCTTTCAGTAGCCTAGAAGAACGTATTTGTGTATAAGGTATAATGTAACATACTCGACTAATGTGCATGTACGATATATTATATAATTCTTACCGTTAACAAAGATAAATATATATTGTAGAATATATGTCCGATAAATAAATTAACATATTACATGACAATGCAATTCGAAATTTCAATACAGAAAAAAACCGCGCGACATTATTAAATAAACTTACAATTAGCTATACATACTTTACGAAGAAAAGAACGCAAATAAAGTTTGCTGAATAATTGCAAACACGAGTAATCCGCATATTGCACTATCTTTCATATATATATTCATGTATACTTTATGCACTGTATTCAACAAGAAATATCTACATATTTTATGTACAAAAATGTAAATTAACAATCATTTTTATCAACGATCCATTTTCAAATTGCATCAAAAAACCGCGTTCCCGACAGAAATGTTTAATGAGATCACTCGGAGAGTGTGATTCGGCACCGGCGCTTCCTAAAAAGCGTAATAATTCGAAAAAACTGACCTTTTTTCGATTGTCAACGGGTTACGTTGCGTATAAATCTTTCATACGGTACGTAAATATAACATTCAGCTATAATAACGGCTAGTCAAGCCGGTGCGCGCGATCGACAGACACAGAATCAGGATCGTCTTACTTTCACCATAAACGGAATCCGCACAGCTTAGAAATAAATAACTATAAATTATATAATTAAGCCTGCTGCTCTCTACGTTTGTTGATAAAGTATAATTACCGTGAATGCGATGTAATTTTACCGTGATTTTGACGCGGGCCAATTCAGCCACCCCGATTGTTGATCTCGATAGCCATATAGAATGACACAATTTGACAAACAAAATTCAAATTTGTTAATAAATTATCAAATAAATCGACATTACACCGGGTATAACTTTCTATATAACAGAAAATCTATATAGCACGAGATCAACATTCTTCGACTATATATATATTAATTATTTTATTAACTATTATCGCTAGTTATCATCAATAAAATTAAATAGGGCGGCTGAGGAACTCGCAAACACATTTGCAATTGCATCGCCGCCGCGTCTCTCCTTTTGGTATCTTCATTTAATTTATCAGAAATGTAAAGTAACACGGGCTTTGTGACTTTTTGTTTTGTTTGGTTTTACAGCAAAGTGAAAAAAAGTAGAGAAAAGGGTTGAGAATAATGAAAAGCGACACGGGGCATTGCAAGCAACGTGCGTCAATGTCCTAAAAGGTAAGAAGATCCCAATTGCTTACGCTTCTACAATTTTAGATATAAATATCGTAACATTAAGCAAGAGTAACCGATGAATACCCTCAATGGACGAACGGAGTTCCTTTCAACGAATTAAAAGAAAATATTACAAATAATACATACAAAAATATAAAATAATAGCGCTCGGAAATCAATCGATGAAAAAAATAGAGACGCGCAAACCCGTCCAGGTTCGCGCGAGAACAGTGAAACTCGTACTCCACTCGACGACAATTGAACGATCATTCGTTCACTCGATTAACATTCATCGCTCGATAAACAGTCGCCGATGAAATCGCAAATAAAAAATTGTTCAGGTCATCTCGGCCCTCGACCCGCGATCTCGAAATCCGAGCGACACGGGACTTTGCGGAGCTAGGATAAATTCGAACTGCAAACCGAGTTCTTCCTCGACGACGATCTCAAATTCCCGAACGATCTAGATGAATCCCGAATCAATAGCAAAGACAATTTAGACAATTCCTGACAATTTACTCCGATTTTCTTTCTCCTTTTCTTTTATATTTCGATTTTCACATACCTTTGCCAGAATAAGCTGCAGTGCGAGTTCTACGAAACGTTTTCCCGGGCATATTCTTCTACCCGCTCCGAAAGGGGCCACCAACAGCGGCGAATGGGGTGCCATAGGTTTCAGCCATCTTTCTGGCAGGCACTTTGATGCGTCTTTGAAATTATCGTCACTCAATCCAGCTATCCATGTATGCAATAACACCACTGTCTACAGAAAGTTACAAGAGAGGGCAAATTATGAATAATAGTATATTGTACAACTAGTGGAAAAAGTGGTCGATTCTGAATGAGTGTGAAGTTGACCATCACACTTATTTGGGCTCGACCACTCTTCCCACGAGTTGTTCATACTATTTTTCTTAACAAGAGCGTAAAACAGGCCGCTTTTCGCGCTTGTTTTACAATTTCATTTCTCCACTAGTTGAGAAATGGCTCCATTTTTCAACTAGTGGAGAAATGGATCGTATCGCAATGGATCATTTCGCAATGATGACGTAAGCGTTGAAACAATTTCACACTCATTCAGAATCGACCACTTTTTCCACTAGTTGTACAATATACTATTCCCGATGATTGAGTGTAGAGGTATTATTAAAACTCACTCCGGGATCAAGGCGATATCCTCCCAGCTCCATAGGCTCGTCTAATATACGGGCTATGCAAGGTGTCGTAGGTACGATTCTAAAATATAATATATATAAAATACATTTTATATTCATACTTATATACATAAAAAAATATTAAAAAGTATATATAAAATTATATTTGCACATAACTTAATTGTTATTAAAAGATATATCATATAGCTGAAAAGGAAGCTCTTGACGCATATGATAACGTATTATAAAATTCAAAGATTAAAAACCTGAAGGATTCGTTGATGCATGCGCGTAAGTACTTCGCCTTTCGCAAATCGTCCACCGTGAGATCGCAACCGGGAGGCGCCAGGGACTGCGCCTCGTTGTAAAGAGTTTCTTGTACTTCAGGGTTACGGCCAATCAAGTTGAAAAGGAACACCAGCGTGTTGCCTAGCTGCAAACGTCCAACGACTGTCTTTAACCCTGTAGTAGTAATTGCATGGGTTGACAGTCCGAACGATATAATAGCAAAAACAGACGGCTAAGAAACATCTAAAAGACGCCGACGTCTCGAAGAGCGTCCCGATGATTCAAGCTCGTCTCGCGAAAAGAAACTGTCATACGCTTTTTTTTAAAACAAATTATTTATCTAGTATATATAATAAGTTATACGTTTTGTAGTCAAGTTTCTGAACTAATAAATATTATAATGTAAAATGTGTGTAAAATTGATTAAATGGTCATTTTAACATTAAAGGGTGACTTTAAAGTTTACGAATTTTTGTTATATCGCTGAAACGTAATCTAATAGTCTCTAAATAATCGCAATCTGAATAATCGCCAACTATAATAAGTACAACGTGATTCTCTCACTGTGTGTATTCCCGCTGCTATAAAGTCCACTATAGCAGCTTTCTTATCTCTCATATCGAGATCTTTCTGTCGCAAAATGGAGAGGAACACCGCCTCGACGGACTCGTCTCTTGCGTCGTCCTGCTTCTCCAACATGGTCGCCTCTACGAGATCCGAGATAATGCTAAGCAAGGAGAAAAGAACAATAAGATAACGGCTACCGATTGTTGATTTTACCAATCTTCTAGACTCCGCGCGTATCAAATTATCAAACGTGATACAGTTTGCAAATAAAAGGAATAATCTTCATTAATTTATCTCGACTCACGAAAGATAAAACGTAATTCGATATTGTAAAGCTTGAATCAATCTTCTTTCTGACTTATCAAAAATTTGAAGCAATTTTATATAGAAATGAATTCAGCGGCTTGGCAATAAAAATTCGGTGCTAATTCGACTGCGCGACGAGACCAATCGACCGTACAGCGTAACTTCAATCAAAAGTTAATAGAAAGCGAGGACACTGACTGCAAGTACGCGTGACGTACTTGTATATAGCGTCCTCGCTCTCTATTAGCTGCTTGTACGCGGATGTCGGTAGCAGCTTCCAAAGCGGCAGGCCGTAAAAGGCGTCGCGCGAGGCCGTGAAGTGAATCCTGACCGCTTCCGCTAATCTCGTTGTGAGCGTGCTGCTGGAATCCGGCTTTAGGAAGCCTAGGTGACGTCCCAGGATCAGCGTGCACGTACCTAAGAAACGAAGGGAACGAGAACAGCGAATTATTCATATGACGGATCGAAAGGTGCAGCTCTGAAACCCGAACGAGAGCCACACTTCTCTCTATCTCCGTCGAACAAAAGAATAGAAACTAAAAACAAGATATTTTTCGTAGATATCCGCGGCCGGGCGTTGCCGTAGTTTTTTTTTATTTCGGGATTATTTGAGAGAGACGGATACACGAGCTAGGAAATCGCTGGCAATTTCTACAAACGCGTGAAACCGCGTCGGCGACTTACTCTCGAGTCCCATTCTGTAAGCGAGTTCCTCGAAGCCTCTCACGGTGAAACGGCTCGCTCTACGTTCACGGATTAAGTCGATGAATCCGTCGGTGACGATATTGAGCGCCGGGAAGAAGCCAAATACAGTACCGGCACCGGTCAGCTCCGGCGTTAAGGCGGCCCGTAGCTTCTGCCATGTCACGCCTTGTCTGTCGGAGTTAGTCACTGATTACTCGGTCGTTCTCACGTTCCTAAGAATCCTACGTGATCCCGACAATCAATCGACTATTATATTTTTTTATTTTATAAGTAAAATACGATTTAATTCGTCCATTTCGTTCTCCGTCAAAAGTGTACTTTCTACTATTATATTATTCATGTTTATACGATAGCAAAATAATCGATTAAAAATCGGTCCAAGTAAGATGTAGCAGCTTTTTAATTTTTCTAATTGTTTTCTTTCTTCGGATTCGAAAGTGTTAAGAAAATATGACGATTGATCACGTAACAACCGTCAGTACACTGAGAGAAAAAAAATTGTCGCAGTTATCACAATTTCACTATAATTTTCAGTTATTTTCAGTGCAACTATATATTTTTATAGTTATTTTAGCAATCCAAAATATAGTTGACTCAATACTATATTATTGCAGTTGTCTTACTACTATATTTATTACTATATTTACTACTTTATTACTGCAATGTATTTATTATTACTACTATAAATAACTATAAAAATGACCATAATTGAAAGATCTATGCATATGAGGTTATTTTTACTAATATTATAGCAATAATAACTATAAAAATAAGAACCCCAACCATAATTATCTTACTATGTAATTATAGTCGTAAATACCAAACACTTTTCTCTTAATGTAAGAGCATAGCGAGTAAATTTGTTAAAACCCATGCAACACGTGTCGATTAATAATAGTATCACACGAGTGTCCACGTCCACCGGATTCTCCGGTAAACACGGTTCAGGGTACGAGGTATGAGCCGAAATTACATGACGCGGCCTTAAACTTGACCTCGATACCGCCGCGGCGTGGCGGCACGTAATCGGCGAGCGCTGGCGAGCGCAGCCGACTACGCGGGCAGGCTACTCACTCATTGACCAGACCAAGGTTGGTGTAACGATCACGCCGGGAGCGCCGGTAGTGGGATATGACCTCCTGCGGAGGACGAAGCGGGTATCTCGAGCCACGCTTGAGGACAGCCTCGATGTCGCGACGGGAGAACACGGAGATCACGAGGAAGTTCCACAGTGCCTCCTCCTTGCACAGCGGCCCGTATCGCCGATTCAGATCTACTCTTGAATCACGGATAACGAGCCATGTTAAAATACCATATACCGATATCCGGGCGTGTGCCGTAACGGGGCGGATCTCGGAACGTGTTGCGCGCGTCTCTCCTTCGATCGCGCTTGAACGGTGCCGATAAAGGCAGAACACCCTCGGTTCAATGCACTCTTTATTTCCCATGAAGATCACCAACGCGAGAAAACCGCTTCGACAAACGAGACGCGCATTTGAATAAGGCTGTTACTTTTGACTTCAAAGATTCAAATGCTTTCGAAGTTAACCTTTGAAGTTTAAGGTGTCTTCATCTTTGAAGTTAACTTCGAACTTTGAAGCTTTGAAACTTCGAAAAATATATTTGCGACATGAGAAATTTTATTCAGATTTTGTCATATAATTTTATAAATGTGCAGTATGTGTACCTATGCAGTACTATTGCAGTACTATTACTATTATATTAAATTAATAATTATATAATTTTGATTCTTCGAAGCTTTGAATCTTCGAAGTTGACAAAAGTGACAGCTTCAATTTGAAGACGCAACAAAATAAATTTTTGAAGCTTCGAAACTTCGATCTTCGAAGGTTTTAAATTGTCGAAGTTTCGAATCTTTGAAGGTACGAAGTTCCAATATCGAAGCAAATTATCAGCCCTGGATTTTGAACGAAAAGACGCTCGAATAAATTTCAGGGCGAAATACATCTCGTCGATCCGAAAGTTATGATCATCATTGCATCGGCAACTGTTTATCGTTGCCCGCGACGTACTCTACCGGCAGGAATGCCTGGACATAATACATATACATATACATGTACATATATGTCATATACATATCAAAATGTCCAGGCATTCCTGCCGGTCAGGACTTACGTTCATAAGTAATTCATTCAATGAATTTGAGATATCTATAAAGTTCTACGAATAATTTCTCCTCTCACAGATCTTTCACTGGCATGACATAAGCAACTTTTAACGTGATGATATAAGCAACTTTCTGCCAGAGGCTCTCCGTTTTCCTCCGTCTCTTGCAATTACAGCAACTCACCGCGATAAGATTGGAGTATCTTTGACCCTGACCCTCTAAAAAGACACGTCCGCCTTCCCCCCCTCGCCCTCGATTTAATCGCGCGGGCTTTTTACGGACCCGCGTGTAATCGGAAGCCCCCGGTTAATCGAAATGGTTAATCTATTATGCGAGTCGAATGGATGTATTAGTAATATAACGAACCGTAATATACACCCGCGTTACTCCCTTTCTTCTGCTTCTCTTCCTTCCCCTTCTCTATTCCTGTCCTCTTTCGGTCGCGCAACCTTGAGATATCATTAGCAGCAAAGAAAAGGATCTAACGCGGCGTGTTTAACGCGGCTACTATCGACAAGAGCAAAAGTCAAACTCCTTACCTTTATACGCCTCGTGGATCTTATTCAAGCGGTAGTAGCCGAAGCGGGAGTATATCCATCTGGTGCCCAAAATCGGCAGGGCGAACGGACCCGGCACGTCGCGTGCTGTTTTGAACTTTCTGCCATTGTCGCCTGCATCTGCATCTGCAAAGAGATCGTCGACTTTTAGCGGAACGGAAATTCGCGGAAGAAATTAGGAATGCCTGACGAGTAACCGAGAGAGAGAGAGAGAGAGAGAGAGAGAGAGCTTCATATCGCTCGGAGCTTTATCTTTCAGATAATTTAAATCACCTTATTTACTAATGTAAGAAACTTTTTCGATTGCTCGGATTTCTACGCGGTAACGTGATACGGTCGTGATATTGCTACCGCCATACATTACATGTTATCGATTAAGAAACTTAACTCTTAACTTGAACCCAGCGCCTCGACAAATACAACACTTGATAACGATAAAAATGATAGAGGAGGCGAAAGAAAGTCACGGGCAGGGCCATTGACTGATATCGGCGGATATCAAGGCTTGAGAGATCTCGGGGATCACTCCTCGCACTTACCGGCGTTCGTGTTGTAGTTCCTGGTCCAGAACCACCAAGGTGGTCGGTAGCCGGTAGCCAGCACCAAGATCGCGAGCAGCGCCGCGGCGATGGTCTCGAACCACGCTCCGGACAGCAGCATCCTCCAGTCGAATCCCTGCACCAAGGTGGATTAAAGAGAGACGGGAAGGACTTCTCTGTCTCTCTCTATCTCTCTCCCGACGCAATCGCGGGATCGATTCGTCTTCGCGGTAGCGGGTAGCGCGGGAGCGATTATCTCGTTACGACGCGTGAAACGCTTGTCTCTCCTTCGCGGGCACGTCGGTCGAAATATGTAGTAAGTACTACGACTGGCGCCCCGTATCTCTCGGAGCGAGTTTTGAGTCATTATTTGGACGCCTCGTCTCGCGCGCCGACTGATGCGGCGAGAAGCTTCAGATGCGTCAAGGTTTCTTCAGTTGCGCACAGGGAGAGAGAGAGGGAGAGAGACGTGGGATTAATTTTAACTCTTAAAATACTAAAAAACAAAGCTACTTTAAGCTACTTTTTATCGTAGCGGCTTCTCAAACACGTCTTGCAATTCTCTGCGTATACCTTCTCGCGGTTCGTAGCCCTACTTATAACGGCAAAGAGAATGTGGTATCTGATGATGGGATAAAACAGCGCCTCTTGCCTTTACAATCACGGACACATTACAAAGGCGTGAGGGCCTCGTGCACATCCGACGCTCAACTCAGCTGTAATTGGCGTGGACGCATTTTTCGCGATCGCCGTGCCGTGCCGTGCCGTGCCGCGCCGGTTGCACGCGCGACTCCGATAAGGCTGCACCGTTCGCGCTTTGATTTTTAACACTGAAGAAACGCGCGCGATGCCGCGCCGGTGCGAAGGGAACAATAAGCATCGCGCATTTTTCTTGGTTCTCACCGAGAAAGGGAGGAAGGGAGAGACGAAGGAGAAAAAGAAAGAGAGAGAGAAAAAAAAGAAACAGAACCAAACCAAAACGGGGTAAAGGGTGAAAAACGTGCGGATAGCAGCGACCGTTTACGTATCTTTTTGCGACTGACTGAGTGCCCCAGTGTTATTTGCGGACCGCGCGATTCCTCTATTTGCAATTCGCCGATAACGCGCTTCCAGCGTTGCCCCGATGATCCACGGCCTCCCTCCCTTTCTCTCTCTCTCTCTCTTCTTTTCTTTTTTTTCCCTCCTTCTCGTTCGCTCGTTCTGAGTCATTGACGTATCGGAGCTGTTACACGGATCGGGAAGAAAATAGTGTAAACGATAACCGTGTAACTGTGCGAGTACTGCAGTGCCGTACTGAACCGAGGACCGAGGGTGAAGGATCTATTGTGAACGGTCTACGTAAGTCATTGTTAAGTACATACGCTCGACACACTGATTTAATATTAACGCATCGACGAAGTCAATAGCATTATAACGCGAGCACAATATCAGCATTATTCTGTAACGGTGAGCGGAAAGAGAGAAGATCACCCCGCGAATTTATCGCGACCAACTCGAGGCCAAACTTTGAACTTGAATTTCTCCCCCAGATCCGCGACTCTTCACGCCAAGTGTACAACTACGGCGGAATCTATTGAAATAAATTCACTTGTATTCCCCTCTCTTTTATCGCGTGTGTACCTCTCACCGTATCTTTCGCGTTCCCCTTTATACGCTCGCGGCTAAATAAAGAGCGCGATTAAGATAATTGTGTGCTGTTTTCGGAAAAATTACAATAAATCGCTTCGTCGCTCGTCTCACCGAGGATGATCTCGGGGATAAAAACATGCGATTTTTATCGGGGAAGAAAATATCCGGGGAAATGAGTGGGGAACGCGGCAAACGGCGCCGCATTCCACGGCGTTTTCTTGTAGCGGTTTCCGTGTATACTGGACGCGTCCCGTGCCTCCTGACCGGCTACATTGTTCCTTCCTCATTAATGACTTTAATTAAACGCACCGCTACGTGAGTACCGTCTCATCGTCGGCCCCCTCCCCCTCCTCGCCGGCGATGGGAGTCTTTCAAGGATGGTATCCACCGAGGAACGCAGAACATGGTGCACACGCGATCGTCGCGTTCCGACGAAGCCGCATTCTTCCCCAATAACATGATTCCGATCTTTGTTTACCTTTTACCTCACATTTACTTTACTCTATTACATTTTATATAGACGAACGTCTCGGAAAATCGATGAGAAAGAGCACGGCTAGCCGTGTTAAATGTCAATTCGACGCTCTCGATTCGTTAGTTTACACACTATTAGACTTGCAGAATAAATAATCGGATGTCTTAATAAAAAGCACACTGAGCACGTTGAAGGTGTTGCGAAATGAATTCTTATTTAGCGATAAGAATTATTTCTTTGTCCTCTCAAACTTATTGTAATAAGAGATAGTAAACAGCTAGAAACAATTATTATAATTAGTACAAATTTAATTTTACGTGGAATTCTTCTTTTAATTTATCTATTTTTCTTTCTAATTTACCTATTTTATTCGTACAGTATTCGAACCTACGCTTTACGAATAGACTATAATTCTTAGCTCGCTTGACTAGCGTCAATGATCAAGCTTTGGATCAAAGCTCTAATAAAGATCTAATAAAGAGTGGAGTAAAATATATCTTGCGTATCTCGCGGAGCCAGTCTCACGCTAAAAGAAAGAAGACAAAAGTGCTCGCTATCAAAAGCTTATTTCGTTCTGTTTCTCTGTCTAAATCTCTCTTACGCGATCTCTATTTTTCCGTCGTGACAACACGCATGGATTTTATCTAGAAAAAATGAGATAAGAGGGAAACCCAAACGTTGACACAACGAGGGAGGCTTCGATCGTCATCGTGCGCATGAGATGTAAATAATGGCTTTTAAACAAATTGAGAAAGAGTTATTTTTGATTATAAGCTCTTTTACGTGTATGTCTCAGGAATTTTGTGTAATTCGTTTTTTTCTTTGCAAAATTTTTAAAGATCCCACAAAAAACCGGAGTATTGTAAAATAAATAAAAATTACACAATTTCACTGGTGATTTTGCAAAATCTTAGGTTCTGTCAGTAAAATTGTGAGTTTAAATTTTTATTAATTTATAAATATATTATAAATAATATTTATATTTATCATTTTTATTCATTCCACAATATCCTGGTTTTTTGTAGGTTTCCAAGGAATTTTGTAAAAGAAAGAATTACACGAAATTTCTGCGATATACATATATGCAATGTAATGTTATTTAATTAAGAGTCACTCGTGTTCAACGTCATGTGTGTACCCTATGCATCAAGCGCATTAAACGCCCTCGTATTTACATGGGACTGGATAAAGTGTTTTCGTCCTGCTATACTGATTGGGCAAATTTCGCTCTCTCCGCCACACGCACGCACGCAATGCACGCACTGCGCGTCGTCGCGCAGCCACACCGCGGCAATCGTATAAATGATAACGAACGCCGGTAATTGTGTGCGAAGACTTTGGAATGGCAGCGTGTCGCCACCGACCAGTAAATAAAGGATTATTGCCGGGGAGCAATTGAGAAAGCGCGAGTGAGTGAAAGAAGAAGTACGGGGGAGAACGAGAAAAATAATCGGCCGGACTGCGCCCGATTACCCGTGACGAGACGCGCGGTCGCGTAGCTGGATCGTTATCTTTCTTTCCTTTCTTCTCTCCTTCCTTTTTCCTCCCTTTTCTGCCTTTCTCCGCACTCGCAAACCCGAGATATATAGCGTGCAGTTTGTAATTTCACCATGAAAACGCCCTGTGGCCCTAGAGGAGAATATCTCAGTGCCAGTTATTTCGTGAAAGATAACTGTAACGTAATAATTTCCCCCTTGATTCCCCAGAACGAACGAGTCGGATCGTCAACGACGAATCGCGATGGACCAATTCGTGATCGAAGTGATCGAACCGCGCGCGCGTGGAGAATCAATTCATTAATCAGCTTCCTTCGCGGGGAGAGCTAAGAGCTAAGAGAGCTAAATAACCGTACGGCGATCTCGTTGTTTTATCGTTTAGCTGTAGCTCCGCTTCTGTTCTAACGCTACGCCTGTCAATTAAATGAACGAGAGATGAATAATGACGTGTGCGCGCCGCGCGCCTCGTTAATGATACAGTTACGGGCTATTATTCACTTTTGTGAGAGCGCCACTCAATCATAAATTTTATTGCTGTAAGTTACTCGGCATTTTTTCCCCACGTGTGGACGGAATTGTATATCTCGAGCAGGCCACCGGCGGCGGCGCGCGCGCGCGCACAAGACGGGTTAATTATATTCTCGTCTCGCTGTAACGCGCTGCACTTACGTAGCACGTATCATTTCGATTTTATCTATATTTTAATCCCGATTTTCCGCTTCTAACGGTTAACGTCCATTTTTGCTAATTGCAGATTAACTTTAATCTCGGCTCAACTTACTTCCTATCCTTTTCTAATTTTTAGAACTAGAAAAAGACGAAAAGTAAGTTAAGCCGAGATTGACCCTTAAAGGCTACAGTTCAAATCTCCACCATTTCAGACTCTCCAGAAATTGATGTTTTTGAACAATTTAATACGAATTATTGGCAATTTTTCTAATTCTGTTATATTCTTCAGTCTTTTCTATCCCTATATATTTTATATATAATTCTTTGGTTAATTAGACCCAGCTTTACATGTGATCAAACATCCATATATGGACCATATGTAGCCTTTAATTTAAAGATAAGGTTAATCTACATTGGTGGAAATGGACATATAAGAGGTTTAAGAGGTACGATCGATTATCTTCGAAAATACCGTCTTGCCATGGGAAAGGTTGCGTGTGGAAAATTTTATGACTTACATTCTTCCTACGTTTTATTGTCGCCCATCGGACGCGGATATCGGCGTAACGAACGATTCGAGGAAATGTTTACCGAAAGTGGAAATGATGAGAATCTTCTTGCCCCCCCTCCCCGTTCGCGGAAGAAATGCCAGAAGAAATGTAAATTCCAGACGCTCGCGGCGTAAGTAATAGTAACGAGGAATATTATCTCCATTATTTGTCGGACATACAATTATTTGCTTTCGTTCGATAACCCACTGATAAGTGCCTTCCATATACTTTATTCCGTTCGCACCGCGATTCCGGTATAGAGTAATAACACTAATAACGGACCCGAGCGCGAAATTAATCCACTCGGGGTCTCGAAATTAGAGTCAAGTCGAAGTCGCGTCATTCGCTCAGATTTTTTTATCGATGCAAATGTTACTATTATTTTAGGGTCTTTGTAATTCTCACTACTATAATAATTCTCGCTAATCGTTTCTAGCGTTAATCAAGCATATTCTGCTCGCTCTCAGACCTACGATTCTCGTTTTTTTCTAACAAAAGAAAGAAAGAGAGAGAGAGCTCTACTGTCCTTCCTCTTTCGCGAGAGATGATCACAGAGCATTGAAAAAATACGTACAACGCAGGAGCGCTGTCGATCCCGCGATTATGCGAATCGCATCTCGCCGTTTCCGTATAACGTTCCCGATTATGCGGCTTACACAGTGCTTGGGAAATTGCGGTTCCCGTTCCTCGCGATTACGACAAGCATTCACGGTACGGTTCACGGTTCACCCCCCTCGGGTGGCTGTAATCGCCATAATCGCCGCGTGCGAACATCAAGCAAATTATCGCCGCGTATCAGCGGCACTTAACATTTCGCAAATAAAATGATTGACCGCCGTCTCGATCTTGCTGCCGACTGTCTGTCGCAATTAAACGAAGGGCCTCTCCGGAAAAGAAGCGTCTCTCGAGCGCGCCGATATGTATACAGAGTGTGCCGAGAGAGATAATCGGCCTCCCGAGCGGCAAGTAAAGCGAGTGAGGTCTACAAACAAAAACCCCATTTTCGATCAGACTGGATCTTGATAGCCTAATAATATGTACAACTCTTCGTCTTAATAAACCACATGCCGTTTCTTACCATCATGAAACGCAGTCTCAACTTAAACTAGCCAGTACAATCGAAATTAAATTGATAATCAATTTAATCACGCTAATCAATTTAATTACTAATCTTTAGAATATCAGAGCTATATGACATGGAAAATACGAGATGTACACAAAAAGAAAAAAGTGTCAAATCAACACTGATATACTCGTACATACGCAATAATATACAGGGTGGTAGTTAAGTACTCTAAAAGATTTTAAGGAGTAATTCCTGACACAAATTCAAGACGAAAACTTTATATGATCATAGGTCCGAAACGGCTTAGTTAAAATACAGGGTGTCAAAGTTGAAGGAAAAATTTCATTATTTCCATGAATTTATTTTGATGAAACTTTGTGTATGTTTGAAGGACATGACATGACATGACTGATCTTTTGGGGCCATACATTATTTTTTATTCAATCAGTAGCGAACTCAAGGATAAGCGGGTACTCTTTTTACGAAAAAAAAACTGGTACGCCATTGAGTGGTTTTCGAAATTTTTGGAAATAATGAAATTTTTCCTTCAACTTTGACACTCTGTATTTTTGAAACTAAGTCGTTTCGGATCTATGAAGTTTTCGTCTTGAATTTGCGTGAGAAATCACCCCTTAAGATCTTTTAGAGTACTTAACTACTACCCTGTATAATCCTCTTATAAAAATTTCAACTTTTTATTTCAACCTTTTTTTCTTGGTTGAACTATATAAAACTTTGTTTAACTATATAAATGATTATTATTAATATGACTATTAACCATATAAATAACCATAACTTCGTTAACCATATAAATAACCATAACTTCGTTTAACTATAGGGGTATTCAAATAAGTTAGAGTTTAACGGTTTGACAGGTTATGTCGGGTTAAAGTCGGGTAAAAAGTTAATTTTTACACTTTTAACCCAAGGATTAATGTGATAGGTTAATGAGTCACTTATGTATTTTGCATAACCTTAAAGAGTAGCGCGCCCAAAGTTAATTAATTAACTTTTTACTGGACTTTAACCCGACATAACCTGTCAAACCGTTAGACTTTAACTTATTTGAATACCCCTTATATAAATTACTTCAAGCAAGTTTTCTTCGTTTAACACGACATAATCTCATTTCAAGATTATAGATTGTCCCGTATATACGAGCATATAAGTGTTGATTTGACACTTCTCTTTTTCCTGAGTATAGAAGTCTACGAAGATTTCTTCCAAGATTTCAATCGACATTTCTCTCGGAGGCCACGCGAAGGTAGACTCCGCGCCGCGCACAGGCACGAAGATTGAAGGCAGGAAAAGCCCGCGATAGATAGGTATACGACGGCGCGCAGGTTGGGTGAGAGCGTGCAACGTGCGTTGTTAGATATCGCGCGCCGAGATACGCTCGCGTGAGAGAGGATACGTATTACCGCGATAACAGGAAAAGATTGTCAGGCGGACAGCGTGTGATTGTTATCCCCGGTTTATAAACAGGGAGCCATATCTAACACCTCGCTTTACAATAACAAAGCTTTTGTTATTCAGACATGTACCTATATTGTATGCCCGCCAAACCGTAGCCGGGGCGCGCAGAAAAAGCTTATACACATCTTTTACCCCGCGTCCTCTGTCACTTTCTCGCCGATTGGCGACCTTACTTTTTACGACACCTCCTGCGTCTCGATCGCGAGAGGCTTCGGGAGAATTATATTTCAATATATTCGGCAATATTGTCTTATAATGTACTTTATCAAATTGATTGCACATCCGGAGAGCTCTATCTTTGTTTTTGTATTAATACATTTGATCGTGAGAAGAGAGCGATGCGTTCCCCAAAATCAGTGCTTTATCGCGAATTGAATAACTCTCGGTCAAGATAATATTATCGTCGATTTCAATAACAGATTATTTCGTAAGCAACGTTTTCGCGATATCTTTCGCGAATTTCTTTTTCGATTAAAGATCGAGGACCGAAAATCGCCGTAATTTCGACAAGCTCGATTCCGAATTTCGACGTCGCATGTATAATACGAAAAGAATGTATCTTACCTCACGTCAGCTGTCAACTGTCACCGTCACTGTCGCGTTCCCGTTGTTAGATAAACGTAGGGCGTTGTTTACCGCGCCGTCCGCACCGTTCTCGGAACGCAAACTCGTCGAAATTACGGCGGCTTCTGGAGAGTACCCGTATCTTTCTCTTTCTCCGATTCCTGCACAGGAGCCTCGACTTGACCGAAACACGCGAGGAGATTCCGCGCGCACTTCCGCGATCTTTCGGGATCTCCGGAACCACGGAAATCGAAATTCGCACAATCTCGTCGATTGTCACCGTGATTGCCGTAAATTACCATGGCGCGTAGGAACTCCGGCGCGACGAAAATTCGCCCTCGCGCACTCGCCTGGGCCCTCAGGTACCGCGCGCCGCCGCGCCGTCCGCAGTAACGCGATCAGCAAATCGCACGCATGTCCACGCACCGTCGTCGCTCCCCTCACGCATGTGCGTGCGTGCGTGCGTACGTGCACGTGCGTGTGTGCGCGTGTGTATGTCGCGGCGCCGCGCACCAGTCTCTCCCCCGGACGCGGCAAGACTTATCAGCGCCGAATTCTTCTCACTCTCTGTGTCTGGTCCGGTCTGGTCTGGTCTGGTCTACTTGCGCCCGCGCCGATCCTACGCGCGCGCAATCATACGTGCGCGCGCGCGCGTTATTGCTTCTCTCACGCTCACGGTTAACGCGCCGCGGCGGACCCGGAAATCCGCGGTACGCCTCGCGTGCTCGTGCCACAGGTGGTAGTAGCGGCCGATGCTCGTTCCTCGATGAATACTTGGATATGCATAAAAACGGATAGCTGCGAGCGCGCGGGCGCATACCCGGTCGTCTTATAGGGTGTCTCGTAAAAAGCGGGATCGCTCCGCGGCCAGGAATGCGTTCTTCCTCGCCGATCGATCGATCGATCGATCGATCGATCGATCCACTTGCGGTCTTCTCCTTCTTTCGAAGTTCTCTATCGGAGAGCTAATTGTCGACTGTCGCGTTTCTTTTAATATTTTCAACGTTCCTATGTTTTGATTTAATTTTTCTATTCTGGTCGAAAAAACCTGCAGGCTTCTTTTATGCATATCTTATGCATATTTTATGTATAAATTGACTAAAATTATTATTCCATTTTGATATAATTGATTTGTCTACACTATTATTCGATCCAAGTGCAGTTGAGTACTCTATATTATGTATAAAGAAATTTGAATTATAATTTTATATAGAGATTGTATTTTAAAATAAACTACATAACAAAAAATTTATTAAAATAAAATAAAGTATTTAATATTAGTTAAAAGAGCTATTGAAATTATAATTGTGGCCATTTAAAAATTATCATCAGAAATAGTTTCGCACTTTCTATAATGATAAATTTAGCTTTAACGATTTTAAAATGCGAACTTCACGTAGAGCAAGAGCTATATATTAAATGTCCACACTTAGCATTTAAATGTAGGACTATAAATACGACATATTATTCTAATGCTGTTCCCGCATTTGCGCTAGAAAATCATTGAACCGATAAACATAAACATGTGCATTAGTCACATACATGCAAAGTTTCTAGAATTAAACGCCTTGCTCGGCAAGTGTTAAATAGCTGATACAATGTTATTGATATACTGTATGTTATTGATATCTAATTCTGTAATAACCACCTCGCAATGCGAGTTATCGAGCCTTTTTAAATCGAACTTCCTCAGACATATAGACTTAAAAAAGTGAATAAAAATATAATACTGCGTGTCGAAAGAGAGAGAGAGAGAGAGAGAGAGAGAGAGAGAGAGAGAGAAAAAGAGAATGTAAAACGAATTCTCGCATGAGTAATCTTAACAAAGTATGTGGTTTTCATTTCAATATTTAGAATTGAAGTTTATAGAATAATTCTTCAAAAAATTACATCTGTTTCCAAGATCTGTCTTGGTAGGAGAATAAGGTGTTAAAAGATAGTAAAAAGGTATATTAGAAATAACTTACGGGTCTCAAGCGCATTATCATAGCCACCGTTGTCAAGGTCGATTCTGTCGGCACCGATAATAAATGTACTAGCGCGCAAATTTTTGTAGAAATTGACGAATTAGGGAAATTCGAGTGCGAGAAACCGAGGACGAGGAGTGATCGCTGATCCGTCCACTCAAACTGCTGTAACTACGATGACGACAGTGAACCGTATTGTGTACCAACTCGTTGGACAGCCACGGCGGCACTGATCCCAAAAAGTTCCTCGGGAACCCTCGTGTTTTCCAAAAACTCCGAAAGCGTGACAGGGGTTGGAGGAGGAAGAGGTCTGGCGGTGATGGAGGTGGAGGAGGTAGAAACAGAGGTGGAAGAAGAGCGAGTGAAGGATGAAGAGGAGAAGGAGGATAGAGGGAGGCCGAAGAAGAAGGAAGCGGGAAGAGAGAGAGAGAGGGCCGCCACGGACGGAGAGGGTTCCTCGGTGGGACGCACGTGGGAGGGAGAGGGAAACAAGCCCGCGACCCGGACGTACAAGTGAGATGAGTAGCGCGAGCACGGGACGAAGGAGGAAGGGCACACGGAGGCCCGGAGGAGGAAGAGATGCCGCGAGAAAAGAGAGACGAGAGAGGAGGAAAGAGGGAGATGCAGGGTGTCCGGCGAATGGAACTTCAATCGCAGTTAATTGCCGCATTGTTCAGCGAATCGATCGGATTTATGAATGGTTGGTGGCACGGCGAAAAGGCGGACCAGCGACGATCCGCGAGTTTCCCGAGAAAAGGGGTAAGACGGGGTGACGAAAGCCCCCGTCCCCCCGCTTTGCCCGCTCTTCTCTCGTCCTTCTCTCTCGCGGAGGAGTCGTGGGACGCCGGGGCCGGGGCCCGCCGGTCCATCTCCGTCTCGCGACGTCTCGGGAGACAGATTCTCTTATCTTCTTGTCCTCTCTGTTTACATGCCCCGTTCCGTGCCCTGCCCGTCGGTCCCGCGACCGCGCGCCACGACATGGTTGGCTGTCGCCAATGGCGGGGCCCCATGGGATCCAGTGGGAACCCGTGTGCGCGCAGTGGGGGTCCCGGATGACGGACGGCCCGGAACGGAGCGCAGATGGCGTTGGAACGTTCCCCGTCGAGGAGGATACGAGAGTCGCTCCTGATCCGGGCAGACACTGATCCTCGATATCCCGGCTGCCGCTACGGGATATGCCGCAACTATCTTCACCTTTGCCGTTTCTTGTCCTCTCATCTTTTTTTTCGGACAAAAATAGACATCGGGTCACCGCATGCATGTACATCCGCTTTCGGGTGTGTCATTTAAATCTTCCACCGTTAAACTTCCGTTATTTCTTCTGCTGTCCTTCATCCTTGAAGTCTGCTATCTATATCTTTTCGTACCGTATTCTCATTACTGAGGAAGAAATTTTAGAAGCTGACCCCCTAACGTATCTTTTTCGCTCCGAGATTAAAGGGTTAATTACGAAGAAATAACGAGCGGGAACGCAAAAATCCTGGGTAAGGTCGAGAAGCTATCGCTGGTACAACGTATTGTTGACCCCTGCATGTAATCAATTATCTGAGAGTATGCCGATTAGATAAATCGCTCGTGAGATTCATGAATAGAGAGATAACGCAATAGGAAGCGAAGCGGGACAAAGAAGTTTCTCTAGATCTACCGAGGGCATAAATTCTCGACTTTACTATAGTAGTCTTATTCACCAGATTCTCGTCCAGGATATTCCTCTCTCTTGACGTTTCACTTAATCGAAATCTGCACGGGATCAGATGGTCCAGGTCAGCTTCTTTAATACAAGACGTCACACAAATAGGTGTTTCATACGGAACCTAGGATAGATTATAGGCCTGTTCTTTTTAGCTGAACTTCTTGCACAGTTCATTTTTCCTCTTTTTTTCACGTTGGAGAGAAAAAGAGAAAAAAAATGAACTGTGCGAGAAGTAGAACAGACATAATATCCTGGAGACGGAGGCGTTTACAGATCTGCAGATAATCCGCGAATGAATTTGTCGGCCACGGAGCGAGTCAACCGTTCCGCGAAACGCGCGCGAGAATCGTCTCTCTCAAGTCAAATCGGAGAACACCGCACACGCGTGCTTGAGTGAGAAGTCACGGACGCGCGAGACGGCATCTAATTTGCGCAAATCGATCCCGCCGTCTCGCGGTGAATTTGCGCGGTCATGCGTAACGGCCGTCAACCGGATCGAACAACCGGCGTCGTCCCCACGAAGGGCGTAAACAACTCCGACTATAGGGAGACTGAGAGCGAGATCGGAAAAGATCGGAGTAAGACCTGGAAACCGGAGCGAGAGATTAGAGCAAACTGTCTTCTAGTCGCCAAGCGGAAAATAGACCTGCACAGGCGCGGCTTATCTAAATGTTCTAAAAACTGGAAGTGACCGGTAAATACTGGTAGCGGCGAATAAACTCAATAATTCGGGAAGAAGAGGAGACGGGTGATCGGGTGACGGGTGTAAAAACCTAAGACGGAGGGGCCTCCGCATCCTTCGGGCAGTCGCAAAATGAATTTTATAATCAGCGGATTAATATTCATAGCGTAATTAACGTCGAACGGAATATAAAAATATACGAAACGATAAGGGAAGCTTGTCCCACAAATACGTCGAAAACCGGTAATTTTGGCCCCTTGCGCTCCCCGGGACCCCCGAAGTGCTTTTATTGGAAAATGTAATTATTTCTACCGAGATTTCTCGAGAATCTACGGCTATTCGGCGGCCGAAAGGACGATCTCTTTCCATTTAAGGGTTAAATATTTGTTCATCGTCTCTCGTAATGGGTTGGAGACCGCGCTGTCCGGAGTGGAACGGACGGCCGCATAGAACGGGCTAGACCGGGTCAGGGGGAAATGATGTAGCTCTATCGCATACATAAGAGGGCGTGAACACGTGGAATGAGACGTCGATTGGAACTCGTTTCTATTCGAACGGAGTAAAACGAAGTAAAAGCGAGCGTCGAGACGGCATAGACCTGACCCGCGGAAGATACGGTGTGATATACAAGGAAGTGTATACGCACGAAAAAAATACCATAGAGCCGCTGGAGCCAAAGATCCATCGCGTACCGATATGACGTAAAATCCAGAGCCTATCCTGCTCTTCCGATCGCGTCTTTGTTTCCTTAAAAATCTATTCGGAGACATCGAATTTTAATATTTTCTTTTCATAGATTATTTCTTCCTTGAAACAACTCCTTTCTCATTATTAATATTAAGCTTTATTAATATAGCTCCAACTGTAACATGTAGTCAATAATTTAATATCAAATGCGCTTTGGACGCGTAATTGTCAAGCGTTTATTTTCGATCGTCATATCTATCAATGTAGATTAACTTTAATCTCGGTTTAACTTACTTTTTATCTTTTTCTAATTCTAACAAGAATTAAAAGATGTAAGAATTAAAAGATAAAGAGTAACTGAGATTAAAGTTAATCTACATTGATAGAAATGGACAATAGGTATCCTTATTTTCTACAAGCGAATCGACGAGATCGAAGTTTATATTTTTACAGCATCTTACAGCATATTCGACACCGAATCCGAGCGTTCCAGTCTGAATATTAACGACAGGCGCGCATTGGCTTTAATCTCGAAGCGTGAAACGCGCGTCAGTCGTGTTTCTCCGATTGCGTATGTCTGGCCGGAGCTAAGTTTCCATAAGTAGGTACAAAAATGTGCCGCAGAACGCAAAATGACCAGCGATATTAATAAGCGACACAATCGTTTTCTACGATCTAATGCGACCTCCTTTTTAAACGTCAATTCGACCCAACCGACCGGGGAAGTTTTGCAATTGCGGATTTAATTAACCCCCTGCCTTCCCGTTAATGCCCTCTTTTTTCAATTTGTTATCCGCTAAATATTACCTGGTGAATTTCTCTTTGACACTCACGACAAGTGAATCTGGTCCTAAGGCTTACAATTAGTGTCGGAAATTAAGAATGCGCGTTCAAAAGACGAGCGATGCGCAAAAATTATTTCTCAACGCAAATGCTAATTTATGAGCATTGTACCGTTAACTTGCGCAATTAATAAGGCTACTTACTGGAAAAAGAATGCGTCATGCGTTTCAAAAAGTACTTGTACAATGAGTTGGGTGAATTTTTACAGACCAGTAGCTTTAACAAGCACTCTGATATTTTTAGCTCTAAGCGTGCCTAAGAACAGGGGAATCCCTTACGGAGTAGATGAAGAAAGATGAAGAAGTATCGAATGTTCTTTGGATCGACCGGTTCTAACGTGACAGCTGTAGCTGAGAATATTATTTCTGTTATAAATTATAGTTTGCGAGACTTATGGGACAATGCGTATTCTGTGTATTATTCCTCTAGTAAATATTGAATAACTCTAAATTTTCTGTCATTCTTGAGAGAAAAATAAACTGGAATTAACGCCGCGCCGGCGTTTAGGACCAACGCTGCAACGTTAAATACTTATTGATGTGTTAAATAGCTATCATCCTGTGATTCTTGTGAATGTAACAAATATGTAAAATAATACTCCTTCTCATACAAAGTGACTGCTACAATTTACGAGCTGGTTTTATTTGAATTTTGGAAGCTTTAATTAATGATTATTTTAATACGCAATGTAGTTACAATAATTATGTGTTAAATATAAATATTAATTAATTATTCTGTAATTATTGACAAAATTGAAATAATCACAATTTTTTCCGTTACTGCATGCGGCAGCTTCAAGAAGAAACTCGGTAGGTCCAGCACACCCTGTATATGCGCAAACATCTGTTCCTACGGCGCGAAATAATCGCGCACACATAAATAAACCACGACAGGGCCAGGCGTGCGTGTCTCACGTGAAGCAACGGAAACGTGACTTGGCCGTTCACAATTCGGCGTCCCGAAAAAGTCTTCGCGGCGAAGCCCGAAGACTATCCCCGCGAAAATCTCCCGTGTGACACGCGATATTCTGCAGACGTTCCATGGGGATATCAAAAACTGTCATAATGCTTGGTGGCAGCAAACGCTAGATAGTAGATATCATTCGCGATATCCTGAATTCCTGACGCGATTTCACGCGAATATTCCGAGTAATAATGATCGAGAGAAGACATTCCAAAATTGTTGAAGATACATTTAGCGAATATTCTTTTTCTCAAAATTATATTCCGCTGCGTAGGACATGCTGGACATGGGACGTCTGTGCTGTGATGTCTGTCTGAAAAGGCGGGCTGTTGCTTAAAAAAAAAAAAAAAAACTGGTTCTTGAAGTTGGTCCCGTGTGTGTTGCTTAACCGCGTCTAATTATCACGTCGCGTTTCGAGTCCCACAGGGCGAAAGGAAACCTATTTCGTTTATGAAAAACGACGTATAGGTTCGGGATTTGAAAACGAGCAACGTGTGAAAGAGAGATAGAAAGCTGGACCACACGCTAAAAGCGATAGGTTTATTTCTTAAAGACGATCGCGCAACTAATCGGACCAAAATCTGAATTTGACCTTCTGGCTTGGCCTTCTGCTCTGTCGCGACGAATCACATTTAATTTCTCGTACCATGTTGCTTGGAATTTTAATTACCCGTCTGCAAGCGTGTGAGTGGCGACGCATTTTTCTATCGTCACATTTTCGAAAAAGAAAGAATAAACAAGATTATCCGACATTTCGTATTTGACATCAAACATTAAAAAAGAATAATCTTGAACACATCCAATAAATAAATCTTTAGAATTTTAAGAATTTTCTTTATATTATATATATATCCGTACCTTAGAGATAAAGAATCGCGTCTATTTGGCAAAACGGAGTTAATACACTGAAAAAAATTGTTAATCCAAAAAAATTTTTAGTCCGATACGTTCAACTAAACATTTTAGTTATCAGACTAAATATTTTTTCGGATTAACAAATTTTTTTTTAGTGTACATTTTTCAATATACCTACTAGAAGTTTAAATTGTAAAGGGTCTTATGTCTTTTATTACTAGTTCCTATTAATTAGAATCAAAAGCCATGCGATCAAGCTTAGGTCTTTGACAGCCTTATATTAGTTACTGTATACATATATGTCTTACATATAATTTTTCCAACAAACTGCGCGCCGATTATTTGTCGGACTTAAAACACAGTAATTGTTAGAATTAAAAACCATGGCTTTTGATTCTAATTGATTGTATATCGTTATGATCCTATCTCTCTTATTAGTTCCTATTAAGATACAATGTTTAGAAAAAGTCATATTAAACATTTCTATAGTACCTTAATTTTGGTCAGATACCGTGTGTTATTGACAGTTGTACTCTGTTAACCATGCCGGTTAAATTACATTATTAAAAACTCAATAAATCAAGTTGGTACTTTTATTTTATATCTAAAAAAAATATACAATTTTCCTTGTTTTTTTCTAAATTCATAATAATGGAGATACTATTCTTTCTCTAAGGTACAGATATAGATTATCTATATCTCTTTATCAAGCATAATTATGGGATATATCTAAAAATATAATTTATCAGAGAGCCAAGATTCTAAAAATAACAAGTGATTACACCCATATCTCGTAATCGCGGTTTAATAAAGTTTTTGCCCTCAGCCTTCGAATAAAAAATAAGTATATACAAGATGAAGAAACAGCGGAGAATAAATGAATAAAAAATGAAGTATAAAATCAAGAACGCTGGAGAATAAAAATAACATGAATAAAAATAAAGTATAAAATAAAAAAGAATAAAAAATAGAGAAGATAAAATCTATTTTTTTATTCCCGTATATAAAGAGATTTAACTCTGTTATCTGCTAAATAACTACTGACGCGTACGAATCGAGCGTGGGACGATATCGATATTTTGCCGATATACACGGGGTCAACAGTTCTTTAAGGAGTCCCCAGGTATATCGACACGAAGCAGCCGCGTGCGACGTACGCGGAACTACATAAATCACTTGCGGTTTTTGTGAAAGGAGAGGAAAAAAAGAAAGAAAGGAAGAGGTTCAACTTTTCGTTTAATAGTCCGGCTCCCATCCACCGAGCGGTAAATCCACGCACACAATTCACGTACCTTACGCGCGGCGTAAGGAGGGAACGGACACAGGTGTACGCGCGTGCATGCGTGCACGTGTATGCTGCGCCGCGCCGCGCCGCGCCAAAGAGACCTGGCCGACCAACCAGGAAGCGATCACGCACAACTGGTCACTCGCCGGAATTCTGTCGGATGCGATTACACGGCGCGATGGTTCGTTTAAAAAATGGGAATCCTCTCTCCGTTTCCCCTCCCTCTCCCATCCCTTCGTCTTTCTCTTCTTCCTCTCTTCGCGAATCGTCTGACCGCCGGCGTTATTAAAGCCTGGAATTCGCCCGAGGTTCCACCCGTTCCGGAATCGTACCTTATTCTCCTCGATTTAACTACGCAACACACGAGTAGATATTTATTCAGTGCCTAACGTTACGAAACGAAAAGAACGCGTAACGGACCTTTCACAATTACGTATGAACAATTGTTTTATTATGTGAGCTACAATAAAAGAATATTCCAGAGAAATTACATTAGGAGAGTTCACTTCTGTTGAGAATCTCCCCGGACAGCGCCATATCCAAAATTGGAAAATAAAACGTCTTAAAGATGTCTTGGACACGAGTGCTGTCTAGGTCTTTACTCGTGGTACAGCGCTGCTGAAGATGTAGGGCAGGAGCTCCGCGAAGATATCGACGTCGGGATCCAGGCAGCGGCCGAGGCCCTCGATCACCAGCATGCTGAGAATCACGCTGCTGAAGGATCCGTCCTGCTTGACTCGGTGACGGACCATCGCGGCAAATAATTCCGACACAACGGTACTTACGTTTACCTGCACGGATACCCGGGACGGCCGCGTGTGCGTCTAGTAATTACTTCTTTAAACAGGAAAAATTACACGCGGGAAGGCGTGTCCCGGCAGATCGCTGTCGACGACGCTCTTTCGACGGCCGCGCAATTCCTTCGCGATGGACTCGGATTTTTCCCGTCTATGGTGACGCCTATCTTTAGAATCGCAATAATTCGCGATTATCCATTATCGGCGTTACGATACCGGTATTAAAAACTGGTTCGTCCACCCCTCGCGCGTGTTAATATTCGCGATACGCGCTTCGTTATTGCGCGCCACAGGTATATCGTTTTTCACACGAGTGCGTTTCTCGGAGGCCGATTGATCCTGATTCAATCCGCGCGATCTTAAATAGCGTATCCGACAGCACCCGCTATATAATCACTTGCATTCATGTTGTGGCTATTATTATTATTATTCCGCGCTACGATGATTCGACATAACTGAAACACAGACTGTACCTCGTGTAATGTTTTACGTGCACGGTCGTTTAAATAAAAAAAATAAATAAATAAAAACGGGAGATCGATTCCGAGAAGCAATGCAAATCAACGCAGACAAGTCTAAAAAATTAATAACAGTTCCCAAGTACAATTTCGATCGAGCGACGACGTGGTAAATAAGGATCGGCGAAAAACGATACGTCGCTTCAGCGATCTCTCGGACTTTAAAGGGAATACCTCCTGTTACTAACGTTAAACGGATTACAAAGGTGAGACTTGACGATGTTCTTCATCGAACACTTGAATCCGTCCGGATCGGGGGTCATGTGCGAGCTATGCTCCAGGATATATTGCGCCGCCATTTCGCCCTACGTCAGATTTTGCACGTAAAACTTCAACCGCGCTCGGTCGAGAAATGTAGTAAAAAATAATCACCGAGGTGAACGAGACGGTATGCGTGTAAAACAGTAAGGAAAATAAAAAGCGACGAATGCGCGAGAGAAAGGAAGTTTTAAAAAAGCGTTGCAAAGAATGCAATTGCGCTCAAGTTTGAATTGAATTGTCTTTCTGTCTTTCTCTACAGATCGACGCGTAAGTATAGCCGATTACTCTCGCATATCATAAATATTTTATCATGTATTTTACAACGATATGATCCCCTTGCTCCGGAGAATACTGGATACCGGAAAAGATGTGCTTTGATTAAAAATAGACATCTCGCCTTTGGACCCCATATTAAAATACCGAAGAAAAGCATGCTTCGGTAACGAAGGAAAAAAGAGGAGAAAGATTAAACGTGTTCCTCCGACTTAAGTTCCCCGTTAAGAAAGCTCGAGCAAAGAGCACATGTCAATAAAAAGTGAACGTTATCTCGCCGGACTTACGTTTCCCATTAGCACCGAGTAAAAAACGTCTCGGAGATTTTGTCGGCAGCGATCATTCAAAGATACCACTAGGCCGCAGTCCAGGATGATCAGGCGTGGGTCGTGCGCCACGTAATCGGGGGTAATGACCCGCCGAAAGGTATTGAACAGGCTCGCCTTCGGGACGACCGCTTTTTCGACTAGAATGTTGCCCGGGTGCAGGTCACAATGGATGAAGTTATCCTTAAATATCTACGGTCAAACGGCGTTCACACGTTATCGTTTTCGATCGAAAGATCTACATACAGAAAAAAATAAGTGTCAAATCAAGACTTATATATGCATATTTATATACGCAACAATCTACAATCTTGAAAATGAGATTTATTGCGTCGAACGAAGAAAACTTGCTTGAATGAAATACAAACTTATATAGTGACAAAATCAAGAAAAGAAAGTTGAAATAAAAAGTCAAAATTCTTATAAGATTATATATTGTTGCGTATGTACGAGTATATAAGTTTTGATTTGACACTTCTTGTTTTTCTATATGTAATAGGACTACGAGAAATCGAATCAGTCTTCTATAAAGCTTTGCGATCAGATCTCGTTCAAATTTCAACATTGATCCTTTCAAAAGCGGAGAATTTTAACGCGCATCAACAGACGTTAATAGCAATGATAATAATAATTGGGAATCGCCCGAGTTATATTGACCATTTTAAGAACCGTCGCGATTCCGATCCTGGCGAGTCTCCGTTGTAAACCAGCGTCGTCGTGTTTGAGGTAATCGGATATGGGTGAACCCTCGTGGAAACTCTCGACGAGTATCCCGCGATGGGTCAGGTGCGTGTAAGGATGCGGGAATACGATGTCATCCCTCTTCGAGAAGTTTGCCGAAAATCTCGCGAGATTGGAGGCTTCCAGTCGCATGTCAATCTTTGCAAAAATCAATTGCACGATTTATGTCCATTTCCACCAATGTAGATTAACTTTAATTGCGGTTTACTTACTTTTCATTTTTTTCTAGTTCTTAAAATTAGAAAAAAGTAAAAGGTAAGTTAAAAATCAAAGTTAATCTGCATTGGTAGAAACGTATATTAGTTGAATGTAAACTACCGCGTTCTCGCTCACTGCTTCTGAACTACAGATTACTCAGAGGTTGAGTTAAGGCCCTGGCACATAAAAAAACTTACTGAAAGTCTTACTGCTTAAGTTTTTCTATGTGCCATAGCTTTTACTGTCTGGATTATCTCTCGTTTTCATGAAAATGAGGAAGGAAACTGTTTCTTCTTAAGTTTTTCTATGTGCCATAGCTTTTACTGTCTGGATTATCTCTCGTTTTCATGATAACGAGTAAAGCAACTCTCTGTTTCTTATTGACTTTATCTCAGAAACTCGCCAGAGTTATGCCGGCTCCAACAAATCTCAATCCCAATCAAAGAAGCCCGACTTGGCTCGTTATAACGAGATTTCTCTCGGATTACGCAGAGTGAATGTGAAGGTACTTCGTGGGAAATTACTTGATCTTCCATTATGCGCGCGAATTCGTCGATGCAATCCGTGAGACTGAGCCAACGCAATTTCGGAATGAAGTGCGTGGCGCACTTGGAAAGACCGCGCATTATCGCGATGTCCTTTCTGAAGAAAATATATATAGAGGAAATATATATTTGAGTCAACGTTTCGTAGCAGATTTTTCGAATTAATTGAATTTACGTTTGACGAAAACGTCCAGGCCAATCGAGAGTTCCTGAACATCTGATAATTGAAAATAAGATGTGTCTCTCTCGTGAATTAATAACGTTACACAAGCAGATTTTGTACTTTCTAACGACTTAGTTAGGAAGATACATAAACTCGAAATTCGACGTTTTCGTCGAAGAAAAATTGAAACATTGGCATCACGGTAGCGGCGAGACACCCGGTACTTGCAACGCGAGTATACACATCCGCGGTTCGTCGTGCCACGCGGCTTTTATCGGCAACGCGATTCAATACGTTGCCGGGAAAGACTACTAAGAATTATCTGCGCGATATCTCAAAGAGGGTACTTGAGTTGGCCTTTGATTCCGGGATGCAACACTTTTACCGCTACGGTTTGCAATTTCCTGGCACGCGGACTGGCAGGCGCGAATTCATCACTTTCATCGAGAGCTCTGTCTGAAATAATTGATACAATTAGTCTTATCTCATTCGTCATCTACAGTTATTAACACGTTGACTGTCAAATGCGAGTTAACTCGTATTTGACGATTTGGTCCATTGCTTTAGTATTAAACCTATTCATTGTCTTATTACACATTTATTAACACGTCTATTGACATAAATATTTATTATTTTTATATATTATATTTTTGGGTTTTGAATAATTTAACATACCTAACTCAAATTGGCGTCGGAGACTCTTTTCCAAATATTGCTTGGCAGTCAACGTGTTAACAAGTTGACCCTGCCACTTAGTTCGAATAAATTTAAGAGAGTGGGTATAATTGCGAAATATCACAGAGCAAAACTTATATATATTATCTTCACGTTCCTTTTTTCATTACTAAATTAATGTAATATTTCTTTTATTCCTTTTGTGATTGATTATCTTTTTGATCGATGTTTTTCTTCTAAATGAGCTTTTCCTGGATTTTAATTACATTAAATTTTTTTTTTTTTTTTAAGAAATTTTATTACTCGTAACTTTTAACAAAATTATAATTTTTGAAAACCGAATAATTGCATAATAATTTATTTATTACTTTATTTTGATCATTTCTATACGTGCGAATGTATCTTTTCTCGCATGAGATAGGAAATTCGCAACTATTTAGAAACATCTCGACAATATATCGAGTTGTTCATTTTAGGCCTGCGATCGGTTTGATTTCTCTGCGCGTATACTTGACGCGGCTAAGTATGCAAATCCACCCGGACAGGCCCAAATGTCTGCCGCGTGAACGCTTCATCGTTCCAAGTGGAAACGATAACGAAGGCTTTCGCTAAATCGCACCCGCGCGATTTCTATCGCGGCGATGTTACGCAGAGAGGAGAAGTGAAAACGCTTTCTAGCTTACTTTCCACGAAACGCGACGTCCGAGAATCCCGCGTCGCACTCAGATCGATCCACGCTTTGTACACCTGCGCATCGACACATTTTTGGGCGATGTATAGCCGCGCGAATAACATTCATCTCGTCGCATATTGGACACTGCGTGTCCGATTCGCGTACGCTTGTCGCACGCGAATCTTATTCTCCAGTCGGGGCCTATATCCTATCGGGCTGCATACCTGCGCGCAACATCCCGAGCCGATCAGTCCCTCGTCCTCGAATCTCACGAATAAGTCCCGCCAGGAAGGGCCGTACGTCTCCTCGAGCAGACGCTCCGTGTCCAGCCAAGAATGTGGCGTCACGTTTCGTTGCAGCTGCGAGAGCGTGTCGCAGATGTCTCGCGGGAAAATATCCCTCCGCGTAGATACCCACTGGCCGAACTTGACGAAAATCGGCCCGAGAAATTCGATACCTGTGGAAGAATGCAGCTACCTTGCTCGAATTGCCTTTTGCGAGATTTTCTTTCATGAGTGAAACTCTGCTGATCACCTCGTTCCGAACGGCGCAGAGATTTTTTCATTTTTTTAAATTTAAAATAAAGGTCTTAACGTCGACGATTGACGATTATATGTTATATATAACATTATTACGAATAATTATAAATGATTTATTGTGGTAACCAGGATGCGCATAGTGTAGGTCTCTTCGTCAATGACGATGACTCCGTGTAAAAAAAGTTTTGCTCTTTTTGTGGGGTACGTGTGTACACTTCACGTCAATAATGCCTTTCACCTGAAGTTAGTCGCGTTCGGGTCAGATAATAACTGAACACATCGCGTCTAGCTATTTGTGCATTATGACTTTTGGTTCAACCAAAAATGTAGTAGATCTATTGTTTGATCAATTGTGTTCAGTTATTATTTGATCCGAACGCGACTAACTTCAGGTGAAAGGCATTTTATTAATGCCGATTGTATGTACATCTCACAAAGATAAAAAATCTCTTTTTCTTATTTTTAGATCTAAGTTCTACACGAAGTCGTCATACGAAGGGACCTACTAGCGCATCCAACGTCCTCACAAAGTGGCTTGATAAAAAATTACTTATATTTTCTCAGAAAGTTTCTAAGCAGATGTTCTCATATTTTAGATTTATGAAAAATTCTGAAAAATATGTCAAATTTCTCAAATACTTTCAGAAATAATTGCATGAGAAGTTTCGAAATATTTCAGTATCTGTAGGTATGTATGAAAATTTTTGATAAATTGCGCAGATTTTTTTTTATATATTGATTTAGATTTTTACATGTGTTGGCGGGAAAAATCTGAAATATTTTATTATTATTTTGTCTAAGAAAACCGTTCCAATTTGTATTAAAAAATCAAAAAGATTCTAAACATTCTAAAAAAGTCGTAAAAATTTTCAAAAAGAAATTCGAATTAATAATATAAAAAATTCCTAAGACATTTTTTCACCAGGTTGGTAACTTCGATGTAATCTTTGTGAAGGAAATTCGAAATAAAAGAGGGACGAATGGAAAGATATGTAATATTAGAAGAACAAGAAAAAGAAGGAATAATATTCATACATTGCAAAAAATTCAAATTGGAAGTTTTATGTCTTATTATATCATTAATAAAATTGTTACGTTGCAACTTTTGAATTTTTTGCAATGTAAAAGAATATGTAAATACACACGCATCTCCACGATTGCTTTTCACGATTTACATATACGTATACGGTTTTCTCTGCCTTGCTTTACGTCTACGATTACGATAGACGTAAGAACCTATTACGTTTCGTTCTCTGCCATCAGCCAAAGTTACGCTCCCCGGTGGCGTGACTGACTAACAATAAGTGATAGCTGCCGGGTTGCCACTTATCATTCGGTAGGGGCGCGTACGTGTAGTATATATTTTTTAAATTATAACAAAAAATTATTTCTTTTTGCAATTCAGATGCTTGAAGATGAAACTAACAAGGGGAGGCCGCGAACTTGGGGGTCACCGAATTGAAAAACGTTTTTATATAGTATAGTGCTCTACCAGAAGAGTACTTGAGCAAAGGTATAGGGCGCAACGCTCAACCATTTCCGAGGAAAAAAATGTAAGCGCACGACTACTACGCTGTCAACCCGAGTTCAATTCCTGTCTCTCGCAATTTTTTTAAATTTTTTTATGCAATAAATGTTAATTTGTGTAAAATAAAGTTTATGTAATCAACAATTTCGTTTTCTCTTTTAAATTTGCACTTTTAAAAGGCAATTTTTTTTTAACTTACGCACGAAACTGAAAATAATTTTTATATTCAAATTATAACCTTACTGCCCTAGCCCTTTGCTCAAGTAATCTTCTGGTATATAGAGTACTGTACTATATAAAATTCTTTTTCAATTTGGTAACCCCAAGTCCGCAGCCTCCCCTTGTAAGATAAAATTTGGATAAGATCAAAGTACTACATAATAAAAAGAAAATATTATACTATGACTGGTATTTTCAAGTACGTTATTCTGATACGCTGTGGACACAAGATGTAACATAACATATCAAATATATTGAACACAGATTTTGCAAAGTATCCGCACAAATTTTGTCAACAGAACGTCAGGGAAAATTACTCTGTTAAAAGAATCTGTTGCGATTGACGGCAGATTGGACGAAGATTGACGACTGCGGGACATATTGTTTTATTGTAACTGTTTAAATGATGTATTCCATTGGAACGGCGACGAAATGGTAAATTCTATTCAATTTCTGCTAGCAATAGTAGCAATGTGCTATCAGATTATGTCGACGAATTCTGCTGGCAGAATACCAGTTCAACCGCAGACGCATGGTTGATGCCAAACTGCCGCTATGTTCTACTCGAATCTATTGACAATCTGCTAGCATATTGTTAACATTTTGCTTACTGGATTATACCTTTTCGCAGGATGATGGGAAAGGAATTCGTATAGGTGAAACGCGTTATCAGATACGCGGCGAGCAGGGTGGTGATAACCGAGGTCACAATCGCGATCCTCGCTAACACGAGTACCGTCTCTCGCGCGTCCGCGAGAAAACCACCCTTTTGCTTCTCTTCTTCCTTCTCCTCATCGTCGATGGGCCCCACCGTTTGTGGCTCGCGGATCTTCGCGCGAGGGTTACGGGACAACGCGGTCGAGGCGAAATTGCGGTTGGTCCACTGGTTAGGATTTTCGTTGGCGCAGCGTGTCACGGGCGGTGGGTGAAAGCGACATCCTCGAGGACGATAACGCAATCGCCATCGTGCGACGTCGTCACTGCGACGACGAAGGCTCGCAAACAGTCGCGCGAGATTCAGGCGCAGCGACATCGCCACATCCGCCAATTTTCAATAATTCATTTTTTGATTCGTAATTTTCGATCGTCGTTCCAGGACAGGTAAATTTACGTTTCGCAATCCGCGACGCCGTTCCCACGCGCGTCCATGTCGCGAATTCACGCGAAACTCGTTGCCTTTCCGCACGGTCTTACATACAGGTCTGGAAACTCTAGTGGTGGGGGATGGT